TCCCAATTTGGTGTCGTCTGCAAACTTGATGATCATGCCTTCTAGCCCTTCATCTACGTCATTAATAAAGATGTTAAACAGGACCGGGCCCAGGACAGAACCCTGCTTGTGGCACTCCACTCGTCACTTCTTTCCAGGATTTATTTTATTTGTCGTGTCAGGGCAACCAGGCAATTATATTACATTTCTAACAGAACAAAGCAAACAAACAGACAAAATACAAAATTTGTGAGTTTGGTAGTTGATTAAATGTCCTTTGACCAGTATCTGGCCACTTGGAGTGCTTCTGGTGTTGCCTGCAAGAAGGTCCTCCATTGTGCATGTGGCAGGGCTCAGGTTGCACTGCAGCAGGTGGTCTGTAGTTTCCTCCTCTCCACATTCGCATGTCGAGGATTCCACTTCGTAGCCCCATTTCTGCATCTTGTGGTGCCAGAGCGCAGTCTGTTCAGTGCCTTCTAAGTCGCCCAGTCCTCTGTGTGCCCAGGGGGGAGTCTCTCATTTGGTATCAGCTATTGATTGAGGTTCTGGGTTTGATCCTGCCACTTTTGGACTCTCGCATGCTGAGGTGTTCCAGCGAGTGTCTCTGTAGATCTTAGAAAACTATGTCTAGATTTAAATTGTTGACGTGCTAGCTGATACCCAAACAGGGGACGAGCTGGAGATGTCTCTGCCTTGGTTCTTTCACTATTGGCTGCTCCTTCCCAGCAGATATCAGGTGGTGCAATACCGGCTAAGCAGTGTAATTTCTCCAGTGGTGTAGGGTGCAGACACCCCGCGATAATGCGGCATGTCTCATTAAGAGTCACATCCACTGTTTTAGTGTGGTGAGATGTGTACCACAGTGGGCATGCATACTCAGCAGGAGAGTATCACAGCACAAGGGCAGATGTCTTCACTGTATCTGGTTGTGATCCCCAGGTTGTGCCAGTCAGCTTTTGTATGATATTGTTTCTAGCACTCACTTTTTGCTTGATGTTCAGGCAGTGCTTCTTGTAGGTAAGACAAATAGGCAAGTTAGGAACACAGGCAGCTGCCTTTTAGCTGTCCAGGAGTGCATGTCCATCTGTCCAAAATTGGTGATGAATAGCTCGTCCCTCAGGGAAGGGCTTCTCTTGCATTCCGAGCAGCTCAGCCAGAGAGACTCTGGGGAATCGCTCTCTAAGCAGAAAGCATGTAATGATTGAGTGGCTGAATCTACTCCAGAAAGTGGCACCAGGCACAGACGGGGCAGACTTCTCTGGTGCCGAGTAGCAAAGCCTGCCATCCCCAAATTTCCCCTTTCCTTCGGGATTGCTCTCTGTCAAGATGAAATGGTACGATTTGCCCATCCTTGCCAACCAAAATCAGGTTGTGGGCAACGTCCAACTTCTGCAACGGCTCCCTGTTGGCATTGAAGCTCCTTTGAACCCCTCCTTCTTTCAGGTGGCGGTAGCAGTGGAGGCGGCAGCAGCTCCTCAACCAAGAACATGTGGGTCAGCGGACTCTCCTCCAACACCAAAGCGGCTGACCTCAAAAATCTATTTGGCAAATACGGGAAGGTAGGTCCGCTTGGACGGCTTATAATGCCCCGCTTTAGGTACAGAGGAAGAATTCTTTAAAGCTACAGACAGTGTGGTTGCTGCTACCTGTTTATGGTCAAAAAGCATTTAGCTGCTTGTGCTCTTTTTATTTTATCAGTTTTATACTTATTTACGCAACGCTTTTGATATGAAATGAATAAATCTAAAAGGACCAGGCCTAACTTAGGCCTGAGCTCCAGGCATTTTGCTAGAGCAACTGGTTGTGTTATTAAAGTACGTAGCTTGTCCTAATGAGCTTTGTTTGCCATAATATATGTTCCATTGGGACAAACGGAAAATAGTTCTGTCTAAACCACTGTGAGTTAAGATTTGTAGTTCATGTACTTTTCAGAACAAGAAGGTATAGAGAAGTGAGCTGAAGCTATAGCTCAGGCATGGGCTCACTTTGGCCTTCCCTCCAGGTGTTTTGAACTTAAACTCCCTTACTTTCTTACTTAGGCGATCCCTCGTAGCCAGAGGATGATGGTCCTCCAGATGTGGTGTCTTGGTGGTGGGTATGTAGGTGGTTGTGGAGCCTTATTCTTGACCTGCATGTTCTCCTGCAGTGAGGACATTGGTTTCCAGGTGGAAGGTGGTCCCAGTCAGGGTTGGCTTGACGCGCCTTCTTCCTTTTGGCAGGCTTTTCCCTTTTGCCTTCCATTCGTGCCTCTTCGAATTCTAAAGCACTGCTAGTCACAGCTGACCTCCAATTAGAGCGCTCAAGGGCCAGGGCTTCCCATTTCTCAGTGTCTCTGCCAAAGTTTTTAAGGTTGGCTTTAAGCCGATCTTTAAATCTCTTTTCCTGTCCACCAACATTCCGTTTCGCGTCCTTGAGTTGGGAGTATAGTAACTGCTTTGAGAGACGGTGATCTTTGGGCATTCGGACAATGTGGCCAGTCCAGCGAAGTTCATGGCGTAGGCGCATCGCTTTAATGCTGGTGGACTTTGGTTCTTCCAGCATCCTGGCATTTGTCTGCCTGTCTTCTACTCAAGAGATTTGCAGGATTTTCTGGAAGCAACACTGCTGGAATTGTTCCAGGAATTGAGTGTGACATCTGTAGACAGTCCACGTTTCGCAGGCATAAAACAGGGTTGGGATGACAGTGGCTTTATAAGCAAGGACCTTGCTTTCCCTACAGATATCTCGGCCCTCAAACACTCTCTGCAATTGCAGAACTCAGGCGGTGTTGTATTTCAGTGTCAATGCTGACTTTTGAGGAGAGGTAGCTTCCAAGGGAGTGGAAATGGTCAATATTTTCTAACATTGCACCATTAAGCTGTATTTCTGGCATTGCAGAGGGATTGGCTGGTGACTGTTGGAAGAGCACTTTGCTTTTCTCAATTTTCAGTGAGAGACCGGCCTTCTCGTATGCTTCTGCAGAGGTGTTTAGATAAGCTTTTAAGTCTTCTTCTGTTATCATCAGGATATTTGAGTTCTGTAATAGGTGTTGTTGTGGCTTTGTTTTTGGCTTTCAGTCTGCCGAGGTTCAATAGCTTGCCATCTGGTAATTTCCACTCCGATGGGAAGCTTCCCATCAACAAGATGAAGTATCATAGCGATGAAGGTGGAAAATAAAGTTGGGGCAATAACACATCCCTGTTTGACCCCTGATTACACCTTAAATGGGTCACTTTGGGAGCCATTGCAGTCCAAGATGTTGAAGGGAGATGTTGACAAGCTGGAATGTGTCCAGAGGAGAGTGACTCAAATGATCCAGGGTCTGGAGAACAAGCCCTATGAGGAGCGGCTTAAAGAGCTGGGCATGTTTAGCTTGCAGAAGAGAAAGCTGAGAGGAGACAGAATGAGGGCCATGTATAAATATGTGAGGGAAAGTCCTAGGGAGGAGGGAGCAAGTTTCCTTTCTGCTGCCTTGGAGACCAGGGCGCAATGGAGCAATGGCTTCTAACTACAGGAAATGAAGGAGATTCCACCGGAACATGAGGAAGAACTTCCTGACCGTAAGGAGAACTGTTCAGCAGTAGAACTCTCTCCCGGAGTGTGGTGGAGGCTCCTTCCTTGGAGGCTTTGAAGCAGAGGCAGGATGGCCATCTGTTGGGGGTGCTTTGAATGCGATTTTCCTGCTTGGCAGAATGAYGTTGGACTGGATGGCCCACCAGGTCTAAGTTCGTTGGCCATCATGTCATTGTGAGGAGTGTTGAAGTCCAAAACACCGGGGGGGGGGGGGGCAAGTTGGCTCATGCCTGAGCTACAGTGTATYTCTCTCTTTCCGTCTGTGGTAACTCGGGCCTGTGTTTCATCCTGCAGGTCCTGGCAGCCAAAGTGGTGACAAGCGCCCGGAGCCCCGGAGCAAAGTGCTACGGCATTGTGACCATGTCCTCCAGCACCGAAGTAGCCCGGTGCATTGCCCACCTTCACCGTACGGAGCTCCATGGCCAGCAGATCTCCGTGGAGAAAGTAGGTCTGATGTGTGTTATCTTCTCCCAGCCCAGAGAGGAGGAATACACAGCCGCTTCAAGGGGCGTAACTGACCCCTTGTCTGAAAGAAGGGTGCTTCTGGAAGGAAAAGGCGCCCAGAAGGAGCCTGCCTGCTGCCCAATAACACTATGCAACAAAATTTGGAAAAGGTTCTGTTCCGGGTTTGAAAGTGGTATTCCCGTTTAAATGTGCGGTCCTGACTTCAAAAGGAGTTGTTCTACCAGAAAGTTTGTTGTTTTTCTGGTTGCAACAGACAGGCGAGGGTGAATGGGTTGAGGCTTGATGATATATTCATTGGAAAACTGCTGAAAAATGTGCTATAGCAGCATCTCTCACAAAGACTTCAAAGTTTGTGCAGTTTAACCAACTTCTCCCATCTTTTTTATGACAGAACCAATTAGGAAGTATAGGTTGCTTACCTGTAACCGTTTTTTTTCAAGTGTCAGTCTGAAATTCGCACATATGGGGTTCCCTTGTACATGCGCAGCAATTTTGAAACATTCTAGAACTTTAAATATAATTTTGGCCGAGGCCCCTGCTCATTTTCCCATGTTGTATATATGCCTGTAGGCGGGGCTTTGCCTCAGTTCCTTGCTTTTTCCATTGCTATGTTCTAAGGCATTGATGTGGTTCTCTTGTTCCCGAGGGGACTAGTGTCCACTGATCATGAGGCCTCGTAGATGAGCGCCCCAGCCTAGGGAGGAGGCATCTGTTGTCAGTGACAACAATGGGTGAGGGAGTGTAAATGGTAGCCCCGATCATACATTGGACCACCATGATAATAATAATATTCCATGATAGGGAATATAGCACTGACGGTGGGGGGTCATGCTTTGGTGGTTGTGAAGGGGGTTGAATACATTGAGGAACCAGGTCTGGAGGGGGCGCAGGCGCGCTGACATTTGTGGTAGATGCCATGTGGCCAAGGATGGACTGAATGGTCAAGGTGGAGGAATGGCGTCTTGATGGTGTCTCGGAGGTTGGATAAACAGTCTTCTGGTAGGTATACCCTTTGAGATATGGAATCTATAATGACACCTATAAATTGGATTTGTTGAGTAGTTACCAGGCGAGTCTTCTCGCGGTTTACAACAAGTCTGAGCTCCTGTAGGAGAAACAAGGTGTAATGGATGTCAGAGGATAGCAATGAGCAGAAAATTGAGGAAAAAAGCCATAATTGATATATGGAAATATTGTAATGCTGCATTGGCGGAGGTGGGATGCAATTACGGCCATACATTTGGTAAAGACCCTGGGTGCAGTAGAAAGTCCAAAGGGTAGGTTATTAAAGGAGAAAAATTGGTTGTCTATTGCAAAACGGAGGTATTTACGGTGGCTTTCCCTAATGGAAATGTGGAAATAAGCATCCTTGAGATACACTGTCACTAGCCAAGCTCCCCTTTCGATGAAAGGAAGGATGACCATGCAGAATTTGCATGGCTTGGTAAAAAGATTGATATTGCAGAGGCCTAGGATGTAGTCCTCCATCCCGCTTATCAACCAGAAAGTAACAAGAAAAGAAACAGGCATGTATCTGATGGGGGGGGGGGTATAGGGGCTATAGCCCCTTTGTGTAGTAGGAAATGTACCTTGTCTCACAGTGTTGTGGAGGGCTGGGTAAGGAGAATTTTTCCAGGGGGAGGATAAGGTTGGAATTCAGTAGTATATCCTCTATTTACTATGTCAAGTACCCAAGTCTCTGTGGTTATAGATTGCCATTTTGGTAAAAAAGGGAGAAGTCTGTTCAGAAAGGGTGTCCTAAGAAATGGAGGACAGGAGTGAATGGGGGGGGGGAGTCGTCTTGGGGACTCTGAATGGGGGTAGGTAGGGGCAGGAGGTGAGGTGGGGAAGGTAGCTGTGGGCTGTTTGGAAGGTCTCGATTTTTTTTCGAGGCGGCTCCACAGATAAGGAAGTAGCCACTGCTGGGCCACTCTCATCCGCATTTAGCTGAGGAGGAGATTCTCGCTCCCCTTAAGTAAGGGGAGGTAATGGTTGTTCGGGAGAAAGGCGGGAGGATTGCCGTGTCCCTTCTGGCATCAAAGCCTGGCCGTAAAGGAGGGCTTTTAGGTGGGAATCCCTATTTTTTAGGGTTTGGGTGGTAAAAGCCTGCAGATTTCACAAGATTGGAGGTTGTGGAATTCACCCAAGCGTAAAAGGCATTTGTTATGTCTATCGGCATCTGGGAGATTAGCTCCGCAAGCTGAGCATTTCTTGAAAGATAAAGTAGCCAACTCAAGGTCGAGGCTGGAGAGATTGTCATCAAGGGAGTCCAGGTAAATAGAGAGAGAATGTAGGTGAAAGGAGTCCAAGTCAAACAGAAAGAGTTAGAAAGAAGTTCCTAGATGCTGCTGCTGCTGTCGCGCGGAAATAGGAACTGAGGCGAACGGGCATATATACTACATGGGAGAATGGGCGAGGCTTCGGCCAAAATTCTAAAGCTCTAGAGTGTTCAGAAATTGCTGTGCATGTGCAAGGGAAACCCATATGTGCGCATTTCACAGATTACATGAAGAAGAAATGGCATTTCTAACCCAGGAACAAACGTCGTGTTACATAGTGCAATTGCTTGGAGTTCAGTGGGGAAGGCAAAGCCTGCGCACCTCCAGCATCCAAACCCATTTTCTTCTGGGTTTGCCCTTATTCCAGTACTCTGAATCTGTCACTGACGGGACTTGTTCCCTTGCATTGTTTTTGTGGAATGATCTTCCAGAAGCTGCATCAAAATGCATTATTCATTGGCTTTTAATGATTTTAATGGCTACTTTAAGTGTTTGTTTTTAATATTATTAGTAATTCGTATTCACACCTCTTAGGTTTTAAGTTGTGTTGTTTTTAGTCTTGTCAGCTGCTTTGGGTCTCTTTTTGAGAGAGAGAGGAAAAGCAGGATGGTATAGTAATTGTTAGGAGCCCCCGGTGGCGCAGTGGGTTAAACCCCTGTGCTGGCAGGACTGAAGACTGAATAGGTCGCAGGTTCGAATTTGGGGAGAGACAGGTGAGCTCCCTCTGTCAGCTCCAGCTCCTCATGCGAGGACATGAAAGAAGTCTCCCACAAGGATGATAAAAACATCAAATCATCCAGGCGTCCCCTGGGCAACGTCCTTGCAGACGTACCTCGAGAAGCCACAGTGGTCCACGCCTTAGTTACATCCAGAATGGACTATTGTAATGCACTCTATATGGGGCTGCTTTTGAAGACAACTCGGAAACTGCGGGCTCTGCTGGGGAGGTCCTTCTCTCGGTCCCACCCCTGTCTCAAGCACGGTCGGTGGAGACGAGAGAGGGCCTTCTCGGTGGTGGCCCCGTCTCTGGAATACCCTCCCTAGAGAGATTAGCTTAGCCCCCACTCTCCAAGCCTTGGTCACACTGGCACTTTAGTTTGTTAATGGTAGACAGCTAGTCTTATTGGTAGACAGCCCCCGGTGGTGCAGTGGGTTAAACCCCTGTGCTGGCAGGACTGAAGACCGATAGGTCGCAGGTTCAAATCTGGGGAGAGGCGGATGAGCTCCGTCTGTCAGCTCCAGCTCCTCATGCGGGGACATGAGAGAAGCCTCCCACAAGGATGATAAAAACATCAAATCATCCAGGCGTCCCCTGGGCAACGTCCTTGCAGATGCCCAATTCTCTCACATCAGAAGCATGAGAGAATTGCAGTTTCTCAAGTTGCTCCTGACACGACAAAAAATAAAAATTGGGGGGTTCTTACGATATTACCAGAAATAGCTTGAGGATGTGCGGAAAGTGTAAATATTCCATTATTACGGTCATTTTGGCCCATAGAGAAACATGACGTGTAGCGCAGGATCCAGCACAGCAACATGTTCCGACCAGTGTTTACATGCAACTTGGTTTGTATTTTTATAACAAGGTCAAAGGTGATCCTTCGAAGAAAGAGCTGAAGAAAGAGAGCGATGAGAAATCCGGCTCCGGGCGTAATCCTGGGGAAAAGAAGACGGCCTCCAGCGACCGAGGCAGCAAGTAAGGGCCGGCCTCCCTCCCTCCCCTGTTCCCTGGGCTGTGGCCTCTGCTCTCGCTGCAGGTTGCGCTTCTCCGCTGATGCCTCTCCTTTGTATTGGCATCCCGGTCCCTTCAAACGATATCTTTGTGGTGCCGTTTGGGGCTGAGAATGCCTGCACTGCCCGTATGCCTTGTGCCTTTGTCTTTGCCTGCCTGCCTCTCTCTCTCTGCCTTCATCCCCAGCTCTCTTGGTGTTGGACCGCATTCATGCTAGAAGAGCTAACGGTTTTTCTTCTGAGGTGGCAACTGTTCATAAAAGCTCGCGCGCCGAGGATCAAATGAACAAACACAACGTTAAGCTTGTTTCTTCTGCTTTGCAAAGCCTCCTGCTTCTCAGTCAAGATTAAATGCGCTATGGCCTCAGAGACGCAGCCTTTGGTTAAATAGGATGTTGAACTAGGACTGAATCAGGTTTTTCTCCATTTGAAACTGAACTAATTAGTTGAATATGTGTGAGAGTAAATATGGAAGTACCTCTTCAGTAAAAGAAAGTGAAACCCTTTGGTAGAGGATGTATCACGGACAGCCTTTGAAAGGATCTGTCCTTTAAAAAAGAGTGTTTTCTCAGTTGCATATTTATTTCTGTTTGCATTGCAATGAGATTACTTTTTCTGGTAAAATGATTTCAACAGAAAGCCTTGAATATGTTTGAACCTGACATTAAGGCCCAAGGGAGCCCCCGGTGGCACAGTGGGTTAAACCCCTGTGCCGGCAGGACTGAAGATCGACAGGTCGCAGGTTTGAATCCGGGGAGAGGCGGATGAGCTCCCTCTTATCAGCTCCAGCTCCTCATGCGGGGACATGAGAGAAGCCTCCCACAAGGATGATAAAAACATCAAATCATCCGGGCATCCCCTGGGCAACGTCCTTGCAGACGGCCAATTCTCTCACACCAGAAGCGACTTGCAGTTTCTCAAGTTGCTCCTGACACGACAAAAAAAAAAAAAGGCCCAAGGGAGTGATTCAGAGCTTTGTTTTCCCTCCTCCTTCCCACTCCTTTTCCGCTGCTCACCGCCTCCTGGTTTTGTGTCTCCAGGACCCCCTCCAAAAAGGAAGAGAAGAAATCAGACAAGTCGGAGAAGAAGGAAAGCAAGGATTCGAAAAAGCCAGAAGGTAAAGAGGAGAAAAGTGACAGTGGATCCACCGGCCCGGCTCCAGAGCCTGCTCCTAAAACGCCAGAGGAAAAGAAGCGCATAAGTACGCATCGGAGCACTGACCCTTCTGGGCAACTCCACCCTGTCACCCGTGCTCACACTCTTCCTGCCATGCTTTCGATCCTCGTAGTTTTAGAGCCACTTCCGCTGGAGTGATGCACCCCTTTGGGAAGGGAGGCCCTTGCTGGAGCCGCTTGGAGGCCCATCCTTGGGAGAAAAGCGGGATAGAAATCAATACATCATCATACCTTAGGGACCGCCTCTCCTTCTCCTATCATCGGAGGTTGCAACGACCAGCCCAACGTGACTTACTCTATATACCGGGTCCTAGAGAAGTGCACTTGGAAAGTACCAGACTTCCTATTTTTCTATTTCTTTTTCTATTTCTGCCCCTGCCTTATGGAATTCCTTGCCGCCCTATATGAGAGCCATGCGTGACTTAGGACCTTTTACTCTAGCACTTAAGACCTGGCTTTTCACTAGAGCATTCAATCTCTGTTAATTTTTAATTTCTGTATGTATGTATTTTATCTTTTACAACTTAGCTGTCAATCGCCTAGAGCATTCTCGGATGGAGGGTGATTAATAAGTAATTAAAGATAATGATGATGATGATCATCATCATCATCATAGCAATAGCGCCCAGGGAATAGCGCCCTCGAATCCCTTTCTCCTCAAACCTTTTGATGGTGATGCTGCTGGTCTGGAACACTCTCCTCACACAAATTAGTCGTCCAAGTCACTTCTCCACCCTGAAGGCATAACCAAACATCCCTGGAACATATCTAGATGTTTCCTTTGAGTAGTTAAATCTGTTGCTCCCTCTCTTCCTAAAGGTGTCAAAAGTCCAAGTCACATGGTGATCCTAGACCAAACCAAGGGAGACCAAGTCCACACCAGGCCTATAAGAAGAGGAAGGTTTGAGAAAGTAAGCATGGCTGCTCATCGGGAAGGAGGGAGGGCTCCAAGTGTAATGTAATGGGTTTGTATTGGAGTGTTTCCTGGAATTGTGCTTGGAGGCATCCCTAGGGGACTGTGCAGTCTCCCCGACAGAAGGGGCCTCTGAGTCCAGCTGCAGGGAGTGGGTTTGTTCAAAGGCCTTGAGTAAATACTACGGTCAAGAGTGCTTTGTGAGCACCATCCTATTTTTCTTGGCTGCGGCCCCTCCATCTGTCGCCCCCTTCTTTGTGGTTTGGGCCCCAGAAAGCTGATAGTGCTGCCTATAGGAGTATGTTCCTGCTGTAAATCCACTGGGATTGTGGCGCAGCTGGCTGAGTGTCAGCTGCATTAAGATCACTCTGACCAAAAAGTCAGCCCGGGTTGGAGTGGGTTTCCAATCAATTGTGTAGCCTGTTGTCGACCTTTGCAACCCGAAAGACAGTTGCATCTGTCAAGTAGGAAAATTAGGTACCACCTTGAAGTGTGGGGAGGCTAAATTAACTAATTTATGAGGCCATAAAAAAGACTCCAGCAAAGCACTCCAGCAATGGGGTGGGGAATATGGAAGTACTTCATCAGTGTCGCAGATGGACAATGAAAGCGACACTCCCCTGGCGGTCAGAAAAAGTTAAATAGCCTCTGTGTATGTCTGTATATGTTGTATGTCAAAATTGGCATTGAATGTTTGCCATATATGTGTACGCTGTAATCTTCCCTGAGTCCCCTGTGGGGTGAGAAGGGCGGAATATAAATGCTGTATGTAAGTAAGTAAATAAATAAAAACATGTCAGTGATCCCAGTGCTTCTGCACCTTGTCCCTAGCCACCGATGCTGAGAAACAAAGATCGCTTCCTTCAGGAGAAGATGTTCAGAGACTACCGAGGCCGGAAGGACATCCTGCCTTTTGAGAAGATGAAGGAGCAGCGCAGGAGGGAGCACATTCTCCGCCTTGAGCGAATACGGCGAGCCGTGGAGCTGCGGAGGTGAGCGTGGGCCTGAGCGCCATGAACCACTGCCACCCACCTACCCACCCATGGAGGAGGAGGAGGAGGCAGACCTCATGGCCTCTGCCTCACTGCCTTCCCACCGCATGCATTTGCAGGCGGAGGGAGATAGCTGAGCGAGAGCGGCGCGAGAGGGAGCGCATCCGGATGATGCAGGAGCGAGAGGAGCGGGAACGTTTGCAGAGGGAGAGGGAACGCTTGGAGATCGAGAGGCAGAAGCTGGAGCGCGAGAGGATGGAGCGGGAGCGCCTGGAGAGGGAACGCATTCGGATTGAGCAGGTAGGTAGTGGTGGACAATCATCAGGGCCCCTTGCCCCTCTCTTCCTTCTCCCAGCCCCAAGGGACCTCTCCCGAGAACCATCAGATCCCCAGAAGCCCAACGCTTCAGTCCCAAAAGCCCCATATTGGGTTGAACATTTCAGAATTGGAGTCCAGGCAAAGGTTTGAGAATCACAGGCTGAGGCCCTGAGGAGCCTGCCTGCATTGTTCTTCAGGGGAGCTTTCAAGTCCTATGGCTTTTTCTGGAAGTACTTGCCTTATTGGAGCCCCCGGTGGCACAGTGGGTTAAAGCGCTGAGCTGCTGAGCTTGTTGACCAAAAGGTCGCAGGTTCGATTCCGGGGAGCGGCGCGAGCGTCCGTTGTCAGCCCCAGCTTCTGCGAACCTAGCAGTTTTTTTAATGATTTTTATTAAAGGTTTCTAAAATTGCATGGAAAGAGGGGGGATATTTGAAAGAAGATAGTAAAGTAGGAAAGATAGATAGATTGATGGCCACTCACAACCAAGAGTCCAAAAAAAACAAAAAGCAAAATAATAATAATAACAGGGGGAAAAAACCTCAGAAAAAACCACAAAAAATATACCTCATGAAAAAGAAAAAAAAGAAAAAAAACTATATATATGTATAAAATTGACTTCCATCTCATCTTCAGGTTCTTAGTCCCATTAGCTATCCCTTTTTTCAAAAAAAAAAAAAGAACCAAAAAAAAAAAAACCCAAACAAAACATTTCCTCTTATTCTCTTCTTTCGTTATCATAGTCACTAAAGAGAACCCAATCCGTTCTTTATCGAATTCCCGGTATTCTTTTTCAAGAAAAAAGTTAGTTCATCCATTTCTCTTATTTCTCTGATTTTTTCCAACCATTCATTCAAGGTTGGAATAATGCCGTTTCCAAAATTTTGCTAACATTATTCTCGCCGTAGTTGTAAAAATTGTAAATAATTTGTCCTCAACCCAACCTAGCAGATTGAAAACATTTAAATGTGAGTAGATCAATAGGTACCGCTCCGGCGGAAAGGTAACGGCGCTCCATGCAGTCATGCCAGCCACATGACCGTGGAGGTGTCAATGGACAATGGCTTAGAAATGGAGATGAGCACCATACCCCAGAGTCAGACATGACTGGACTTAATGTCAGGGGACAACCTTTACCTTACCTGCCTTATATACTCTTGTTGCTGCTCTCTCTCTCTCTACCTGGGTCAGGAGCGTCGCAAGGAAGCGGAGCGGATCGCTCGTGAAAGAGAAGAGCTCCGGCGGCAGCAGCAGCAGCTTCGCTATGAACAAGAGAAGAGGAATTCTTTGAAGCGGCCTCGGGACATGGATCACAGGTGCAGCAGGCCTTCTCTCTTCCCCTCTGAACTTTGCCGCCCTCCACCCTTGAGCCAGAACAGCTGGTGTGGAGCATCCCCCGAAAGACCACTTGCTTCGACGTGTCTCCTTGTGCCAGAAGGCGGGAACAGCAGCAGGTTGACTCACCCATCTCTTTCCTTCCGTAGGCGGGACGAGGGCTTCTGGAACGAAAGTAAAAAGATTGCCATGGACAGCGGGGCGCGTTTTAGCCACGGGTCGGAATACAGCCGGCAGCAGAATCGCTTCACTGACTTTGACCACCGCGAGAGGGGACGATACCCAGAGGGATCTGCCATCCAGTCATCCTCCTTTGACCGGTGGGTGGAGGGATCCGGGGAGGAAGAGCGCGAAGGTGCCAAAGGCACTTCTGTGGGCAGAGTTCTGCTGTCAAGAGACGACCCGCAGTCTGAGTGCATATCCTGCTTCCCCAAACAGGCGGGACCGCTTTGTCAACCAAGGCGAGGGCAAGAAGGCCCGGCCTGCTGCCCGGCGCGAGGACCCTGGCTTTGAGAGGTACACCAAGAGCTTTGCCGATTCCCGGAGAGAGGCCTCCCAGGCCCGGAACGAGCTGCGGGATGGCGACCGGCGGGAGGTGAGGGGGGACCGGGACGAGCGCAGGACCGTCATCATCCAGGAGAGGCCCGAGATTCCCCACGGCCGGCACCCCAGGGACGCCGGGCCCAACCCCCCTCGGCAGAGCTCCTGGAAGGGCGAAGCGGGCATCAACCCCGACAAGCGTGACGGCAGGTGGGTGGCCCTCAAGCCAGTGGGATTGTTGAAGCTTTGAGAGGACAACCACAGTTGCAGGGTGCGGGAGCGCTTCTGTCGAGGTCTGTCCATAAGCAGAAACAGGCCTGCCTTCACTGTGCCGTTGGGTCTTATCTCCTTTCCCCAGGGAGAGGCCAGAGCGTTCCGGCCGGGAGGTCTCTGGGCATGCCGTGCGGAGCGCGCCCACCGGAAGCCGCAGCAGCACCTCTGGCTACGGGAGCAGGGAGCCGGAGCGTGGTGTCATGGAGCGCAGTAGTGGTGGGCAGGTGAGCCTTTCTCTCTCACCTGGCGGGAGGGCTCCTGGGCCTGTTGGAGTGAGCCTTTTCAATGCAAAATGTGAAGGCGCACCTCACATAGGAAAGAGGAGCAGACGAATTGGCTGTATGTAATTCTTGATCTGTATTTTAATGTGTTTTAATGTATTAATGTACTATGATGTTGTTATGCTTTAGTTTATTTATATATTGATTCTCTGTTGTTAGCCGGCCTGAGTCCCTCCTCGGAGGTCGAGAAGTTATAAAAGCTATAAATAAATAATACTTCAGGGCTTCGATCCAACGTGGCAGCTTTCCCAATAGGAATCCAGAGAATAGATGTCCTCTGACGTGGTTTTACAACTGCGGAGGCTGAAGATAGAACAGTGGTTCTCAACCTTCCTAATGCCGCGACCCCTTATTACAGTTCCTCATGTTGTGGTGACCCCCAACCATAACATTATTTTCATTGCTACTTCATAACTGTAATTTTGCTACTGTTGAATTGTAATGTAAATATCTGATATGCAGGATATATTTTCAGTCCCTGGACCAAATTTGGCACAAATACCCGATACGCCCAAATTTGAATACTGGTGGGGTGGGGGGGATTGATTTTGTCATTTGGGAGTTGTAGTTGCTGGGATTTATAGTTCACCTACAATCAAAGAGCATTCTGAACTCCATCAATGATGGAATTGAATCAAACATGGCACACAGAATTCCCATGACCAAGAGAAAATATTGGGAAGGTCTGGTGGACATTGACCTTGAGTTTTTGGAGTTGTAGTTCACCTATATCCAGACTGTGGACTCAAGTAATGATGGATCTGGATCAAACTTGGCACAAATACTCAATATGCCCAAATGTGAACACTGGTAGAGTTTGGAGAAAATAGACCTTGCCATTTGGGAGTTGTAGTTGTTGGGATTTATAGTTCACCCACAATGAAATAGCATTCTGAACCCCACCAATGATAGAATTGGACCAAACTTTCCACACAGAACCCCCATGACCAACAGAAAATACTATGTTTTCTGATGGTCTTTGGCAACCCCTCTGACACCCCCTCGCGACCCCCACAGGGGTCCCGACCCCCAGGTTGAGAAACACTGAGATAGACCATTTCATCCTTTCCTTCCTCTGCAGCATTACAACGAAGACCGCCACGTGGTTGAGCGGCACAGCCGCGACAGTGGACCAAGGAAAGAGTGGCACGGGCCCAGTTCACAGGGGGGCAGCTACCACGATGCCCGGCGAGGGGGCGGCTTGATGTCCCCCCATTCCAGGTACGCGCCTGGCCACAGCTTTGCCTGCAGGGCTGGGAACTATGCAGCCAATGCCTTCTAGGAGAAGTGGGCCAGGGTCTTGCGGCGGGGAGGTGCCTTTCTGATACCCTACCTTTCGGTGGGAGGGGGGCACCTGAGCCTTTGGGCCACGGAAAAGGCTGGGCAGCTTTTTAAAAACAGCCTCTTTTGGGGAGAAGTGGCAGGAAGTCCTTGCCTGGCCACTCCTTGGAACTCTCACCAGATTGGCAGACCTTTGACTTCTCTGGAAGGGGAGCACTGCAGCCTTCAGGACCGTCACTCTTTCTCTCTGCTCTCCTTACAGCAATTCTTCACCTATCAACCGAGTTGTACAGATGACAGGCAATTCCATGCCGAGGGGAAGCGGATCAGGGTTCAAGCCCTTCAAGAGCGGCCCCCCACGGCGATTTTGAGCACAGGCAACCCCTCCCCCTCCACCCGCCTCCCCCCCCCCCCCCTGGTTTCAGGATAACTTATTGGAAATCGCTGGTGAACAAGTTGTAGCTCAGAAAACTCTTCTTTTTTAAAACGCAATTCCTTTCCCTTACSTTTGGGGGGCCGTTGAGAGAAGTCACTCTGTCGCGCTTTTGGATAATTACCGGATTTTTTGGGCGAGCACCCCCTGGCAGTGCTGGGGCTCTGGAACAAGATGGGGCAAAACCACCTGAACACTGTACAGCGAGAGAGAGAGAATTTGTGGGGGGGGGGGGGGGCTTCTTTTGCATCCGGTAGTTTTAACTTAACCAGCCTTAGTTCTGTGGCGTCCGGCTTTAAAAATTAGGTACTACTCTCCACAAAACACCGATAATGGAAGCTGTGCACCACTGGCTTTATGACGTGTAGAATACAAGGTTGGTTGTCTCGTTTCGGAGTATTATGTAACCTATTTTTGCAGAAGTTGTTACACTGAGTGGATCTGTATTCTGGCCAATGTAACCTTTTGAAATAAACCTTCATAATCCTTACGGCTGCCTTTTCGTTTCGGGTCCTGCCTCTAAACTGGTTTCCTGGAGCATTGCTCGTAACAGTTCCAGCTTCCCTTCTGTGGGTGTAAAGCCCCACTAAAGCCCTCCTTTGCTCAGGCCCACTTTGTGCTGGTTGTCAAAGGCGTGTGGCCAGTCTGGGGCCCAAAAGAGAGGTGAATCGAGGGTACCCCTTCCTATCGCTGTGGAGAGCAGTCTTGCATCATGATAGGTTGAACACACAAATGTATGTTGCACGCACACAGTTTGGGGGCTGCTGCTCTTTTGATAGGAGCAATGTCATCAACAAGTTGCCACACTAGGGAAGCCTGGTGTGGTTCTGCAGTGTTGTGTATGTGCTGGAAAGGACTCTGGCATTTCCATCCCAGATTCTCTTTCCCCCCCCTCCCTGCCCCCAATGGGATCTAATGTAATTCAGCCCCATTGAGAATAATCCCCATCTCTCTCCTTTGAGTCTCAACCTTTAGCAAAACAAATACAAACTGTGCAGCACAGGTCGAAATAGGGAACAAGGCAATAGTGAAAGGACGAAGGCAGTGACATCTCCAGCTCATCCCCTGTTTGGGTATCAGCCAGCACGTCAACGACTTAAATCAAGACATAGTTTTCTAAGATCTACAGAGACACTCTCAGCAAGCGAGAGTCCAAAAGTGGCAGGCTCAAACCCAGAACCTCAATCAGTGGCTGATACCAAATGAGAGACTCCCCCCTGGGCACACAGAAGACTGGGCGACTTGGAAGGCACTGAACAGACTGCGTTCTGGCACCACGAGATGCAGAGCCAATCTTCAGAAATGGGGCTACAAAGTGGAATCCACGACATGCGAGTGTGGAGAAGAGCAAACCACTGACCACCTGCTGCAATGCAACCTGAGCCCTGCCACATGCACAATGGAGGACCTCCTTGCGGCAACACCAGAGGGACTCCAAGTGGCCAGATACTGCTCAAAGGACATTTAATCAACTACCAAGCTTGCAAACTTTGTTTTTGTTTGTTTGTTCAAAAAAATGCAATGCAACTGCTTGGTCTGTCCCTAACACGATAAATAAGGCAGAGCACAATTCCCTCAGTCCCCAGCAGTCGACTAATACGTTCAAGTTGAAACAATATTTATTACAGGAAGAAGTTACTCAAGACTGTTAAAAATTATAAATATATATATATATATATATATAAAATTAGACAGGAAACAAGGGGGAACGGCAAACCGCTGGAAGAAGTGGGCAAGATCCAACAGAGAAAGAGGACCGGTCGCGGATCACAGTGTCAATCCATGCAAAGTTTTACCTGCTTGCTAAAGCCAAGCTTCTGGCCAGCCAAAATCTGGGAAGGAGATGATTTGGGGGGGGGGGGGGGGGAGGCAAAACCAAGGCAAAAAGAGAGGCAGAAAGGGCGGGGGGACACTACTGGAATGCAAGCCAGGACAAAAACAAGACACATGATTCTTTTGTTCGACAATACTTTCAACACACATGAAGTGCTTTTCCGTTATAAAATTACTATAAAAGTATTTGGCAGTGCTCAAGTGGGGTGCTGTGGGTGGGGTGGGGGTGAACTGTACTGCGCCTGCCTTTGCCATAGCAAAGCACACCCTGCCTGCGCAGAGATTCTTGCTTCTTGCTTCCCCGCCCTGCAAAGGATTGGCCTCTCCTCCTTCCCTTTGCTCCGCTGGAGAAGTTGCTGTTGTTCTTGTGGGTTTTTTCGGGCTATATGGCCATGTTCTAGAGGCATTTCTCCTGACGTTTTGCCTGCATCTATGGCAAGCATCCTCAGAGGTGAGGTCTGAGGATGCTTGCCATAGATGCAGGCGAAACGTCAGGAGAAATGCCTCTAGAACATGGCCATATAGCCCGAAAAAACCCACAAGAACCTAGTGATTCCAGCCATGAAAGCCTTCGACAATAAGTTGCTGTTGTGTTGGAGGGCTTTCTGGGGGGCCGAGAAAGGATGCGCAGCAAGGGGAGGCGGCCGGCCACAACACAGGCTACCTGTCTCTGCTTCAGGAATGAGGGAGGCCCATGGGGTGGCTGTCTTGAAGAGAGGCCACCGACAGCACTGCAGAGCCAGCTATGGGATGGGACAACCTTGCAAACAACACACAGCCAAAGTGGGGACATGTTCCTGCACATGAAATGGATACAAACCAAGCCATGCCGGTCTTCCTTCTCCTCCTTCAGCAAACTATCAACACTAAAGCAGGCATAGGCCACGTTGGGCCCTCCCTCTGGGTGTTTTGGATTTCAACTCATAATTCCTAACAGCTGGTATTAGGAATTATGGGAGTTGGAGTCCAAGACACCTGGAGGGACTGCCCAACTTGGAAACAACAAATAGGGTGCACAAATGTCTCCCTCCCATCTTCCAAATTCAGCACATTAAAAATCATAAGGATCCTGGAAATGGTACAAACTTGCGCTTAATGTAAACAGAGACCTCAGTGATTGTTGTTTTCCTTTTGCAAAAGAAAGAAGCACCTGGGTGAAAGATTCAGTGGCAGATTCTGTGTAATTATACGAAGAGGTGGCAGCACTAGCGTCTGAAGTCTGCGAGGGGAAAAGAGAGGCTTTGGAGAAGGGCGAGAGAGACTCCAGACAAACATGATCCAAGGTGAATCGGGTTCAGAATGAAGCCACCATGGTTCTGAGCGCAAAGAGCAATACGGTTGGCCTTTGGGGGGCTAAGGCAAATCGTTCAGTCTCGGGGAAGGGACAAGCACAGAAGCCTCCGCTCCCAACGTTTTGGCTCCTCCGACATAGAAGTTTTAGGAAACGGAAAGAGTTAGGAATGGATTACTGAACTGTTCAGCTAGGCTACCCTCTCCCACCGCGGTCGTAAGATTGTCACACTGACGCGAGCCAAGGCCCGGCTGTAATGCACAGGAGCCCAGGCATTAGGAAATACAGCACATTTTGTCTGTCGGAAGCATCTACAAACTGATATAGAAAGTTATCAAAAGGGTGGAGGGAGGTCCCGATCCCTCTGGGGAGGAAGAGCGGGAGGCTCTCACGGGCCCCGATCCCAGTAACAATAAAATCCAACAAAAGCTCCCTCGTCAGGAGCCTATAAATGGGAGATGGAGCATGTTGGGCTATAAAAACTGGATTCCCCAAAATACTACCGCAAGTCTTTACAGGTGTGTGTCTGTCCCACAAAGGAGGAGAGTAAGATCCCACCACCGCTCCTAAAGTTCCAATATACCAGTGAGACCCACCTCTGAGCGGGCACTCCTTTGGGCTTGGCCGGACCACAGAACCCTCCTGTTCCCCTCCGAGTAGGGCTCTAGCCAGAAACATCGGGAGGGCCCCCAATGCTCCCGGGGAGGGGGCAGCCTCCGCACTCCACCCCAGGTGTGCTTTAAAGCTGCCTTGGCGAGGGACACGGCATCTGCCTACAGTACACATGATAAGGCATACAAGCAAACACATCACCCGGACTCGCCTCGCGTTTCTCGAGGCAGGCACCCGTTGCGTCTAATTCCACATCTGCTTCCCCTTCCAGCCCCATAGAGAGCGGTCCAATAAATAACAGCACAGTGCTGGGCTCGGCTCTCTTTGTGGGGCGCCACAATTCAGTCACCGCCGATCCCCTTGCTGAGGGTTTCCCTTTCACCACACCTGGTGCTCAGTCATGCCGACCAATATTCTAACCCAGGAGTGTCCATCAGGACGAACCAGCGTGTGTGTGTGTGTGTGTGTGTGTGTGGTGGGGTGGCCAGAGACCCCAAAGTTTGCCTCCATGATGCAGGGGCTTCTCTGACGGCAACCGAGGCACCAGCTGGAGCACAGCGCAACGGGGCCAGCCAGTGATAATGCCTTGGGTTCCTCTAGTGTTCTTCCCTTCTTTCTGGGCTAGCGTTGGACCCCCCCCCTCCGGCGGTCTCTGTGGGGCTGAGAGGCACAGGTGGCGTGGGGCCCAGGCGGGGCCAAGGTGTGCTTGAGTCCAGGCAGGGCCTGCTCCCGCCCCCACCGCTGCTATAGAATGGCACAGCTGCTCTTCTCTTTCTCCCGGGACTCCTTCTCCTTCTCCTTCGGTTCCTTCCGCTTCCGCTCGCTGCCCCCCGACGGTCTTCCTGTGGAAGGGGAGGCCGCTCTGGGCGCAGGTGGCTGTCAAGGGATATTATTATTATTATTATTATTATTATTATTATTATTATTATTAACTTTATTTATACCCCGCTAACATCTCCCGAAGGACTCGGTGCGGCTTACAAAAGGCCAAGGCCCTCAATAAAACAACAGCATAACAAATACAACAATAAAACTCATAAAGCAAAACAAGAAATATTAAAGCAATAACAATAGTCAGCTTTCGTATGATGTTGTTTCTAGCGCCCACTTTTTGCTTGATGTTCAGGCAGTGCTTCTTGTAGGTCAGAGCACGGTCCAAAGTGACTCCCAGGTATTTGGGTGTGCTGCAATGCTCCAGTGGGATTCCTTCCCAGGTAATCCTCAGAGCTCTGGATGCTTGTCTGTTCTTAAGGTGAAAGGCACATGTCTGTGTTTTAGATGGATTAGGGATCAGTTAGTTTTCCCTGTAATAGGCAGTAAGAGCACCTAGAGCTTTGGAGAGCTTCTGTTCAACCAACTCAACTGATTCCTAATCCATCTAAAACACAGATATGTGCTTTTCATCTTAAGAACAGACAAGCATCCCGAGCTCTGAGGATCACCTGGGAAGGAATCCCACTGGAGCATTGCAGCACACCCAAATACCTGGGAGTCACTCTGGACCGTGCTCTTACCTACAAGAAGCACTGCCTGAACATCAAGCAAAAAGTGGGTGCTAGAAACAATATCATACAAAAGCTGAATGGCACAACCTGGGGATCACAACCAGACACAGTGAAGACATCTGCCCTTGCGCTATGCTACTCTGCTGCTGAGTATGCATGCCCAGTGTGGAACACATCTCACCACACTAAAACAGTAGATGTGGCTCTTAATGAGACATGCCGCATTATCACAGGGTGTCTGCGCCCCACACCACTGGAGAAATTACACTGCTTAGCCGGTATTGCACCACCTGACATCCACCGGGAAGTAGCAGCCAATAGTGAAAGGACCAAGGCAGAGACATCTCCAGCTCATCCCCTGTTTGGGTATCAGCCAGCACGTCAACGACTTAAATCAAGACATAGTTTTCTTAGATCTACAGAGACACTCGCTGGAACACCCCAGCAAGCGAGAGTCCAAAAGTGGCAGGCCAAACCCAGCACCTCAATCCATGGCTGATACCAAATGAGAGACTCCCCCTGGGCACACAGAAAACTGGGTGACTGGAAGGTGCTGAACAGACTGCGCTCTGGCACCACAAGATGCAGAGCCAATCTTAAGAAATGGGGCTACAGGGTGGAATCCTCGGCATGCGAGTGCAGAGAAGAACAAACCACAGACCACCTGCTGCAATGCAACCTGAGCCCTGCCACATGCACAATGGAGGACCTTCTTGCGGCAACACCAGAGGCACTCCAAGTGGCCAGATACTGGTCAAAGGACATTTAACCAACTACCAAGTTTGCAAAATCTGTGTTTTTTTTTTTTAATCTGTGTGTTTGTTTTGTTCTGTTAGAAATGTAATACAATGGTATGGTTGCCGATGACACGATAAATAAATGACAATAGAACATTAAAACAATACACACACGGACAACACTAGCGTCCCCTCCCTGGCGCTCAGCAGCCCCCAATCCCTACCCGGGCCAACGCAAAGGCTGTCCGGCCTGCCCACTTCCCGGGAGGGTAGGGGTGGGGAGGGGAACATGCATGGTCTCAGGCAAGTTCAAAGGCTGAGCAGAAGCCAAGGTCCTCCTTACCTGGACCTGAGCGGCCGTGGCGGCGGCTGCGGCGGCGGCTTGCTCTTGCTCCTGATAGTACTGGGAGGCCCGCCGGTCCTCTTCCTCCTGCAGTTTCTTGGCAAGCTCCAGGTCGCTGATGCCTTCAGGCAGCTGCTCCCAGTTGAGGTCCTGGCTCTGCTGCTCTTGTTGCAAGGACAAGGCCATCAGGTAGTCCTAGGGGCAAACCCACCGCTGAAGGCACCTCTCCCAGGAAAGCCCCTGGCCAGGGGCAACCCCGCCCTCCCCTCTGGGAAGGCTCCTGGCACACACACCGAGCGCACTGGAGGAGGCGCAGACAGGAAACAATCAGGCACATCTAATCACCTCTCAACAAAAGATTCCCCCAGGCACTGCCAGGCCATCAAATCCTAATCAAGGTGGTCAGGTGAAACATTCACACCTAGCTCCAGCAGGCAAGAGTTCTTTGTCCCACCTCTCTTGCCCTTTGCCCTCCCCGTTCGCCCAAACACCCTCCAGTGCTGGTGAAGAGGAAGAGGAGAGAGGGAGGAAGGAAAGACGGGAAGGAAAAAGGTGGTGTACCCCATTGTGGCACACACCCTTGTTTCCTCCTCTGCAAACCCACATTAGCTTCCTCTTCCTCTGCTGGACTGCCTTCTCCTCCCAACTGGCAAAGAACAACTGCAGTGGATTGCTGTTTATTCAGGCTATATGGCCATGTTCGGGAGGCATTTTCTCCTGACTTTTCGCCTGCATCTATGGCAAGCATCCTCAGAGGTAGTGAGGTCTATTGGAACTAGGAAAATTGGGTTTATATATCTGTGGAATGACCAGTGTGGGACAAAGAATCCAACAAATGCTTCGTTCAGCAAAGGACAAGAGGGATCCTCTCATTTCTGCAGGAGTCTAGCTGTGGATAAGTCTACATAAGGACCACCAAACGCAGCATCTCCCAAACACGAATCAGGGAACATGAAAGGCACTGCAGACTACTTCAACCAGAGAAGTCAGCCATAGCAGAGCACCTGAGGAAACAACCTGGGCACAGCATATTATTGGAGAACACAGAAAGGCTGGACCACTCTCACAACCACCATGTCAGACTCCACAGAGAAGCCACTGAAATCCACAAGCATGTGGACAATTTCAACAGAAAAGAGGAAACCATGAAAATGAACAAAATCTGGCTACCAGTATTTAAAAAAAAACTTTAAAATTTCAACAGCAAAACAACAGAAGGGAAACAATCAGGGACATCTAATCACCTCTCAACAAAAGATTGCCCCAGGCACTGCCACACCATCAAATGCTAATCAAGGTGGTCAGTTGAAACATTCACACCTAGCTCCAACAGACAAGAGTCCTTTGTCCCACCCTGGTCATTCCACAGATATATAAACCCATTTTCCTAGTTCCAACAGACCTCACTACCTCTGAGGATGCTTGCCATAGATGCAGGCGAAACGTCAGGAGAGAATGCCTCTAGAACATGGCCATATACCCCGAAAAAACCTACAGCAACCCAGTGATTCTGGCCATGAAAGCCTTCGACAACTGCAATGGATTTCCCAGCGGGTTGATAGTGAACTGGGGGCAGAGGACGACACACAGCCCCACATGGGCAGAGTGTTGTGCTGTTGGCTATGGAGTCCTACACTGTTTAATCTTTTTTAAAAAGAGGGGGGAGAAAGAAAGAAAGAAAGAAAGAAAGAAAGAAAGAAAGAAAGAAAGAAAGAAAGAAAGAAAGAAAGAAAGAAAGAAAGAAAGAAAGAAAGAAAGAAAGACAGAGGGCAGAAAGAAGCATGCAAAGCACAGCCAGCCCAAGAATGGCTAAGGCACTGAAGGAAGAGTCCCCGCACCTACCTGATCTATCTGGTCTTGCTGCCCTCGGTAGACCGTTTCCGGGTCGGATGGTGGCCGAAGGTGGAACTCAGAGTCACAGAAGTTTCCATCCCCATCCACGTTGTGCAAACTTTCCCAGACCACTTTATCTTCGGTAAGGAAACCCTGGTCTGTCACCAGAAGGTAAAGCTGGCCCTGAATCAAAGGACAGGTTTGACACATGCAACCAGAGCTTCCTATTTTAAAAATACCCTAATAAACCCTTGCCAATAAGATTTCCAGACTTTAGAATCATAGAATCCTAGAGTTGGAAGAGACCTCATGGGCCATCCAGTCCAATTCCATTGTGCCAAGAAGCAGGAATATTGCATTCAAAGCACCCCTAACAGATGGCCATCCAGCCTCTGTTTAAAAGCTTCCAAAGAAGGAGCCTCCACCACACTCCAGGGCAGAGAGTTCCACTGCTGAACAGCTTTCACAGTCAGGAAGTTCTTCCTCATGTTCAGATGGAATCTCCTTTCCTGGCTATTCCAGTGTGCCTTTCCAGAACAGGAAACTCCCAGCATCATGTCCCAAATGCACTTTACCAGAGATTTAAGATTGCCTGCACATTGCACCTACCCTAAAATCCTTACATTTCCCCTGTCATGTCCAGCACTTTTAATTTATTCATTACATTTGGCCTGGCCCTAGTTTTAAATGTGTCATGATCTATTGTTTTTGATGTTTTACTGTTATTGCTTTAATGTTTATTGGTTTGCTATATGGGTTTTAGTGTTGTATTTGTTATGCTGTTGCTTTATTGAGGGCCTTGGCCTTTGTAAGCCGCACCAAGTCCTTCGAGAGATGTTAGTGGGGTAGAAATAAACTTAATAATAATAATAATAATAATTGTAGTTTGAAGCCATTGTTCCATTGCGTCCTAGTCTCCAGGGAAGCAGAAAACAAGCTTGCTCCCTCCTCCCTGTGGCTTCCTCTCACATATTAATACATGGCTATCATATCTCCTCTCAGCCTTCTCTTCTTCAGGCTAAACATGCCCAGCTCTTTAAGCCGCTCCTCATAGGGCTTGTTTTCCAGACGCTTGATCATTTTAGTCGCCCTCCTCTGGACACATTCCAGCTTGTCAATATCTCTCTTCAATTGTGGTGCCCACAATTGGACACAACATTCCAGGTGTGGTCTAACCAAAACGGAATAGAGGGGTAGCATTACTTCCCTAGATCTAGACACTCCTATTGATGCAGGCCAAAATCCCATTGGCTTTTTTTTTGCCGCCACATCACATTGTTGGCTCATGTTTAACTTGTTGTCCACGAGGACTCCCAAGATCTTTTCCACACGTACTGCTCTCGAGCCAGGCATTGTCCCCCATTCTATATTTCTGCATTTCGTTTTTTCTGCCTAAGTGGAGTATCTTGCATTTGTCCCTGTTGCTCTGAGGTGTCCTGAATTTGGCTCAAGAGGCCATGCTTTCCACATATCCCTTGTGTGTATGTGAGAGAGAAGCTACCTGTATACTACTATACTACTGTACTATTTCCCTAGCACACAATAAGCAAATACAGAATCGACTCTGGGCAGGCACAGGAACAGAAGTTACTGACTTGGGTCTGCTTTCACAAGTTGAAATATTCCAACATATTTAAAAGATGGGAGGCAGCCATCTCAAAAAAGGCCTGGGACAGGATTGAGGGTGTGTAGCAAACCCCGTTTGTCTCAGGCTTTGAGGGCAGAGGCAACGTACGTGGCAACCCCAAAGCAGGAGTACGACTGCAGGCTCCCGCTTTTCAAGCCACCCAGCGTTCCCATCAAGATAGCACAATAAGGACACTGTCCGCAGCCAAGGCATACCTTGTGTTTGGTCATGGTGCTGAAGTGGTTGTTTCTGAAGAAGACACACAGCTCCCCTTCTTGGACAGTGGATGTCAGCTCACAGAGGCCATGGTAGGTCAACTGAGTGGCCGTGTTGTTGAGGAACTGCTCCGCAACGGTACCTGTCAAGCCAGAACCGTGGCTTCATTCTCGCACAGAGGGAATGCATCGCACTGGGACAAAATGAACCACCTAATCTATAGCACTGTGCAAGCCAAAGGGAGCATGAGCTTTTGGGGGATGTGAGTTGGGTGAGACCAGAAGGCAGGGGAGCCCAAATCTATATAAATAAAAATGTAATGTTCGTTTGTGGGATTAACAGAACTCAAAAACCACTGGATGAATTGACACCAGATTTGGACACAAGACACCTAACAACCCAATGTATGTCCTTCACTAAAAAAAAAAATGATTTTGTCATTTGGGAGTTGTAGTTGCTGGGATTTATAGTTCACCTACAATCAAAGAGCAATCTGAACCCCACCAATGATGGAATTGAACCAAACTTGGCACACAGTTCTCCCACGACCAACAGAAAATAGGGTTTGGTGGGCAGTGTCCTTTGGTTTTGGAGTTGTAGTTCACCTACATCCAGAAATCACGGTGGACTCAAACAATGATGGATCTGGACCAAACAGATCTACACGAATACTCAATATGCCCAAATGTGAACACTGGTGGAGTTTGGGGAAAATAGAATCTTGACATTTGGGAGTTGTATTTGCTGGGATTTATAGTTCACCTACAATCACAGAGCATTCTGAACCCCACCAACAATAGAATTGGGCCAAACCTCCCACACAGAACCCCCATGACCCCCAGAGTGGGCCACAGCAACGCGTGGCAGGGGATGGCTAGTGTATATAAATAAAAATGTGATGTTCATTTGTGGGCTTAACAGAACTCAAAAACCACTGAACAAACTGACACCAAATTTGGACACAAGACACCTAACAACCCAATGTATGTCCTTCATTTAAAAAAATGATTTTGAAATTTGGGAGTGGTTGTTACTGGGATTTATAGTTCACCTACAATCAAAGAGCATTCTGAACCCCACCAATAGAATTGGGCTGAACCTCCCACACAGAACCCCCATGTGGGCCACAGCAACGTGTGGCAGGGAACGGCTAATATAAGCCTATACAGTTAAGGGTCACTTTGCAGGAACAGAGGCAAAGCTTCTCACTGTGCCCTTCCCATGGGCCAGCACTGACTCTGGATGGCAACCATGACAGAGAGAGAGAGAGAATAATGGAGCAGACCTAAGCCAACCAAGTTCCCCCAAAAGATCCCAAGCAGTTTGCTCACCTTCGTCAACCAGTTCACTACTGTCTGACTGTTTACAGCAAATTATTTTCTCCACGAGCTGATTGTAGCTGCAATTGCCAACGGCTTTCACAATGTCAGCAATCTGGGGGGTGAAAAGAGACATTGAGCTTAACTGGTTTTCTTTTGCAGTCATCACAAGGGTATTATTTTGCCCATCGCCACTTTTAGAGTCTCACAGACACAAAGCCTGCAGAGTGTTTTTAACAGAAAGCCACCCAAGGAGCCTCCTCTCAGGATACTGAAGGCAAGGCTTCATGCGTATTAACATCCCAATCTGGAAGCCCCTCAAGTTCCCTGCAAATAACCTGCTCCTATTTTTATCTCATTAGAGTTTTTAATAATTTTATCTTGTACATGTGGCCTGCTCACTGTTATCGTGATTGTGTTTATTGGAATGTTATTTTGTTACTGTGTTTATACTTTTTTTTCTATGTAATTTCAACAGAAAAGAGGAAACCATGAAGATGAACAAAATCTAGCTACCAGTATTGAAAACTCTAAAATTAAAACAGAAAAATAACAGAGGGAAAACAATCAGGGACAGCTAATGATCTCTCGATAAAAGATTGCCCCAGGCACTGCCAGGCTATCAAATACTAACCAAGGTGATCAGTTGAAACATTCACACCTAGCTCCAGCAGACAAGAGCCCTTTGTCCCACCCTTGTCTTTCCACAGATATATAAACCCATTTTCTTAGTTCCAACAGACCTCACTACCTCTGAGGATGCTTGCCATAGATGCAGGCGAAACGTCAAGAGAGAATGCCTCTAGAACATGGCCATATAGCCTGAAAAAACCTACAACAACCCAGTGATTCCGGCCATGAAAGCCTTCGACAATACAATTTTGATGATGTTGCTTGTTTATGTTATGTTTTATTTTGCTGTAACATGTTGTCCGGGCTTGGCCCATGTAAGCCGCTCCGAGTCCCCGTTGGGAAGATGGTGGCGGGGTATAAATAAAGATGTTGATGATGATTATATTATTATGTTGCTGTGCCTCTTCCTTGCTATCTTTTAGGAACTCTGTAGGCAGAGTTATTCACTGGTTTTCCACAGATACCCACCCAAGTGCATGGCTCTGTTTTGCTTTGAATTTTTTTAAAAATTGGCTTCAATCTGTCTTAAATTACTTTAAAACATATCTATCCTTTTGTCTTCACCATCAAAAACAAGTTTTATCTGTTCCCTGCCTCTCCTGATGGCTTGAAGCGGCGCTCAATACAATGAAAACACCCAAGCATGGCTTGTGTTAATTTAGGAATCCATTTCAGATCCTTTTTGACTTTGGCTCATTCTCTCTTACTTGCAGTCATGGCTTGCTTCCCAGGGAGGCTATCAATGGCCGCCTGCCTTGACCTACCGGCTGGCTGTTTACCTGGGGGTCCACCAGCCACCCGTGGTACAAGGGGATGTCGAGAAGGTCGAACACGATGCACTCGGGCGTGTATTCAAAGACCCGGACGCCCGTGAACCTGACGTTAACGTCCAGCCCCGTCTGCAGCTTGTGCAAGATTGCCATCGCGTCGCTCATGTTCTGCCAACAGGAGGTCAAAGGAGGAGGAGAAAAGCCAGCCTTATTTACTGTGGGCACCAGGAGTACACGCTCAGTGTATATGACGTTAACATAATATGACTGATGTATCATATACGTGTGTGTGCATACACACACGCACAATTGATTTAGTGACACAATTAGATCCCAGGCTTCTTTACTGATATGTTAAACGTTACTGGAGTATGCCCAAAGCAATACTAATACCCATAATAAATTAATTCTAAAGAGGCCCGAGAGCAAATATTTCAAATCTTACATTATTCTACCAGCACATGTTGAAATCTTCCAGGGAAGGGAGGGAAATATAGAAGTTAAGGCAACGTCTTTGAATATCTTATTGGTCATTTCCTCTCTACTTTCCTACTTCCATCCATTATTATAGTAAAATGAAAACTCAGAGATACGAAGTGAAAATGTTATGCATCTTGCCATTTACTAAGAAGTTTTATGCTTCAGGTTCTTATCAGGCCAAGACAAACTTAATTGCAAACCCAAGATAAGGATGCTCCCAATGTATGTGGTTTGATATTAATTGACTGATTGACAGTATGATCATAATGAATAAATCTAGGATACCTCTGATAAAATGGCATTTTCACTTTTACAAGCATAAGGATCCTAACATTAGCAATTTTGCAATATGAAAGTGCAAGTATTTTAACACACTGGTACAAAGGCCACCTATTCGCAAAACTGGCTGCATTTTATTATTACCTGCTCATAGTTTAGGCGCTGAATTTCTGAGATTTCTTTTGGTTTTGAATCAAGGATATAGTCTCCTAAAAGAGAGAAGAATTAAAGCAATTCTTTGAGTACCATAGATGTTTTTAAATGTATTTGTACTATTTTTCGACCTCTTTTCTCTGATGTTAATTAATTGATTACTGTTTTAAATTATTAATGATTTTGTACTGTGTTGTTGATACTGGTTGTTAACCGCTCTGAGTCGCCTGATGGCTGAGAAGAGCGGTATACAAGTGAAGCAAATAAATAAATAAAACCTACCACAGTGCTCCACAGACAACAGCTAAAAGTCACAGTAGTATAAAGTATAAAGGGAAAGGCTTTCATGGGTCCAGGCCCTTTCTTCCATGGGATAAACTATTTCTATCAATACTAATCATCAGCACAGTGTCATGAATACCAACCTAAGTATTCCATCAACTGCTCAGCTGTTATGATTTCCATCATCGGTGGCAGTTTCACCTGGAGAGAGATAAAAATGAACATCATGAGGTTTTATTTACTTAGATTGTGGTTTTATATGTTTTTATGGATTTAATCTGAATTGTTTTTAATACTAAAGATGTTTAATGCTGTTTTAATATTAGTATTATTGTATACTAGCCATCCCTTGCCATGCGTTGCTGTGGCCCAGTCTGTATATATGTTCTTTGTGTGTGTATATATGTGTGTTTGCGTATATATATGTGGTTTTGCACATGCGTTGTAATGTATTTTTATTTTTTGGCTTTTTAAGTCTCTTCTGCTGTGTTTTCAGTGTTTTTATGAGTGATGGTCACTCGTTGGCCTGATAGGTGTATTGTGTCCAAATTCGGTGTCAATTCATCAATGGTTTTTGAGTTCTGTTAATTCCACAAACTAACATTACATTTTTATTTATATAGATTTTACATTGTGTGCTGATGTTTTTATGTTAAGCCACTCTGAGTTTCCTGCGGGAGAAATAAAGCGAGGTAGAAATAAATACAATAATAATAACAATAGAAATTTTACAAAGATGAACAGCTTCCAAGGGTTTTGTATCTCTGAATTTACAATACATCAGTGCAGAGAGATCGCAACAAAGTTTTATGTGACATACTGAAATCAATTTCCCCAAACATCTGGGATGACCCTTCTTGGCATTCAGGTGAAACATTCCCAACGAGGACAAGACTGTTGCATTCTTTCTGCCAAAAGGGAGGCCCCTGCATTTCTGCTACTTCCTAATCTCCCATCAAGGAAACATCTGACAGCAAAAGAACTTTCTTTTCCTGTCTGGAGCACTGTGTGTTCCTGACGATGACCATGGCTTGATTCAGTAGCCTATCTTACAGAACAGCGGCATTTGTGCCAAGAACACTTTTGATATTTATTTTATTTATTTATTGTGTCAGAAACTAATTGAGAGTACAGTTGTATTTAAAAACACAAAGAAAGTTAAAAACTTGGCATTATACTAAATGTCCTTTGACCAGTTTTTTATTGTGTCAGAAATAGCTTGAGTATATTGCAAGTTGCTTCTGGTGTGAGAGAATTGGCCGTGTGCAAGGATGCTGCCCAGGGGACGCCCGGATGTGTTACCATCCTGTGAGAGGCTTCTCTCATGTCTCTGCATGGGAAACTGGGGCTGACAGACGGGAGCTCAACCTGTCTCGTGGATTTGAACCACCAACCTTCAGGTCTTCTGGCAAAAGGGTTTAACCCACTGCGGCACATCAGCTCCACCTCTTATCAGTAGCTGTCCACAAATGTAAACACCTCCATTGTGAACATTGCAGGGCTCAGACTGCATTGTACTAGTCGGTCTATGGTTTGCTCTCCTCCGCACTCGCATGTCATGGACTCCACTTTGTGGCCCCTTTTCTTAAGGTTGGCTCTGCATCTTGTGGTGCCAGAGCGCAGCCTGTTCAGTGCCTTCCAAGTTGCCCAGTCTTTTGTGTGCTCAGGAGGGAGTCTTTCATCCAATCTCAGCCACAGATTGAGATTCCGGGTTTTACCCTGTCACTTTTGGGCTCTTGCTTGCTGAGTTATTCCTGTAAGTATCTCTGTAGATTGTAGGAAGCTATTTCACTGCCTTGGTCCTTTATTATTGGCTGCTTCTTCCCAGAGGATGTCAGGTGATGCAATACTGGCTAAACCAGGAGTCCACAAACTTTTTAAACAAAGGGCCAGTTCACAATCCCTCAAACTGTTAAAGGGCCGGATTATAATTTGAAAAAAAAAAAGAAAAAAAGAAAAAATTCCTATGCACACTGCACATATCTTATTTGTAGTGCAAAAAAAAAACCCACTTAAAAACAATATAATAATTTAAAATGAAGATAAATTTTAACAAATATAAAATTATTAGTATTAAATGGGAATTGTGGGCCTGCTTTTGACTGATGACATAGGATTGCTGTTGTTGTGTGCTTTCAAGCCGTTTCAGACTTAGGTTGACCCTGAGCAAGGGCCAGGTAAATAACCTTGGAGGGCCGTATCTGGCCCCCGGGCCTTAGTTTGTGGACCCCTGGGCTAAGCAGTATAATTTCTCCAGTGGTGTGGGACATAGACATTCTGTTATAATGCGGCATGTCTCATAAAGTGCTTGCGTATCCTTCCAATAATAATAGAGTAAAATAATAAATGTAATAACAACAACAATAATAGAGTAAAATAATAAATGTAATAACAACAATAAAGTAAAATAATAAATATAATAATAACAACAACACATTTATTACGTATTTATAACAGAGTAAAATAATAAATAGCCTTGACTCGAGTATAAGCCAAGAGGGACTTTTTCAGCCCAAAAAAAGGCCTGAAAAACTAGGCTTATACTCAAGTATATACAGTACTTTTTCCCCCATTGTATGTTTGCTTGGATTTACTCTTTAAAAAGTTCCTGTCCCATCCCAAACAATTTCAGTTTAAGAGCAAACCTACAGAACCTCTCTTTTTCATAACCTGGAGACTGCCCATGCTATTTGGTGGTGTATGGGGAGACATTGGAAATGACTTGAAAGCTCACAACAAGAACAACAACTTCTACATCAGTGCTGGAATAAAGGCCAATAAAAGGACTGTCCTCACATCCAAGCCAGGGGTTTGGGGCCACCTGCCTGTCAAACTGCTATGACACAGCCCAACAACAACATTTTCATAAGGTCTTGGTTTTTAGGCCTGTTCCGGGGGTTATTTGGGTTACTGATTCAGAAGATTGCATTGGATAGACCGCATCAGCTCTCGTTTCTTGTGTGTCAAATGTCTGGAGACTTTGTTTCATAAATGTGTCCTTTTGGAGTAAAATAAGTTGAAAAAGCACCAATTTCTTTTAATTTTTAATATGTTTCCTTCATACTTACAAGATACTAAACACTACATTAAAATATCCTGATTTTTCTATGAATGAGAAGAGGGAAGAATGGTAGATGGCATATGTTCTGTATCACAAAAACTACAGCTGATAGGGGAAAACAGGTGATACCCAGAAACAGGGTTAATATTGGAGGAGCCAGAACGTGTGAGAGAACCTTCCTGTTGGATAAAAGTTTTTTCTGAAAAATAATTTATGCTCTACTGTGTGGAGGATAAATGCAGAGACTCACGCTGGATTGACTGACTGCTGCTGACACCTATGACAGCCCCATCAATTCAATGTTCTCTACGCTATGCGGAACTGAACTTTCGGGCAAATGGAAGGGAAGGTGGTATATAAATGACTAAAATGGTCCAATTCTGCAATGTGGCTGCATCCTAAGGCTCCCCTTTGGAAGGCCAACATCTCCGCCAGCCACACACCGAGGGCCACTCTCCTTCTCCCTTCCCACTCTTTCGATGTCCCATTCCCTCTATTTCTTATTCTATTTCCTTCATATCCTGCCTCATTCCCTCTACATCTTGTCTCATCCCCTCGCCTCCTCCCCCTCCTTCTCCCATGACCCCATGCCTCCCTCCGCCTCATTTCCTGTCCCATCCCCTCTACTTCTGGCACCATTTCCTTCATTTCCTATCCTGTTCCCTGCTCTATTTCCTGTCTCCTTCCCGGGCTCTCCTTCCAGGCGAGGAAGAGGGCCACTCTCCTTCTCCCTTCCCTCTCTTTCCCTGTCCCATTCCCTCTATTTCTTATCCTATTTCCTTCATACCCTGTCCCATTCCCTCTATGTCTTGTCCCATCCCCTCTATATCCCCCTCCCTCCGCCTCATTGACTGCCCTATTCCCTTTACTTCTGCCCCCTTTTCCTTCATTTCCTATCCTGTTCCCTGCTCTATTTCCTGCCTCCTTCCCTCTCTTTCCCTGTCCCATTCCCTCTATTTCTTATCCTATTTCCTTCATACCCTCCCCCATTCCCTCTATTCCCCCCCCGCCTCATTTCCTGCCCCATCCCCTCTACTTCTGGCCCCGTTTCCTGCATTTCCTATCCTATTCCTCGCTGTGTTTCCTGTCTCCTTCCCGGACTCACCTTCCAGGCAAGGAAGAGGGCCACTCTCCTTCTCCCTTCCCTCTCTTTCCCATTCCCATCCCCTCTATTTCTTATCTTATTTCCTTCATACCCTGCCCCATTCCCTCTACGTCTTGTCCCATCCCCTCTATATCCCCTTCCCTCCTCCTCCCATGGCCCCTTCCCTCCCTCCCTCCATCTCATTTCCTGTCCCATTCCCTCTACTTCTGGTTCTATTTCCTATCCTATTCTGTGCTCTATTTCCTGCCTCCTTCCCTCTGCTTCTTGCGTCCTTTCCCAGCTCACCTTCCAGGCAAGGAGGAGGGCTACTCTCCTTCTCCCTTCCCTCTCTTTCCCTGTCCCATTCCCTCTATTTCTTATCGTATTTCCTTCATACCCTGTCCCATTCCCTCTATTTCCCCTCCCCCCCCTCCACCTCAGTTCCTGTCCTATTCCCTCTACTTCTGCCCCCTTTTCCTTCATTTCCTATCCTGTTCCCTGCTCTATTTCCTGTCTCCTTCCCAGGCTCACCTTCCAGGCGAGGAGGAGGGCCACTCTCCTTCTCCCTTCCCTCTCTTTCCATGTCCCATTCCCTCTATTTCTTATTCTATTTCCTTCATACCCTGCCCCATTCCCTCTACGTCTTGTCCCATCCCCTCTATATCCCCTTCCCTCCTCCTCCCATGGCCCCTTCCCTCCCTCCCTTCACTCATTTCCTGTCCCATTCCCTCTACTTCTGGTTCTATTTCCTATCCTATTCTGTGCTCTATTTCCTGCCTCCTTCCCTCTGCTTCTTGCGTCCTTTCCCAGCTCACCTTCCAGGCGAGGAGGAGGGCCACTCTCCTTCTCCCTTCCCTCTCTTTCCTTGTCCCATTCCCTCTATTTCTTATCCTATTTCCTTCATATCCTGCCCCATTCCCTCTATGTCTTGTCCCATTCCCTCTATTTTCCCTCCCTCTGCCTCATTTCCTGTCCCATCCTTTCTACTTCTGCCCCTTTTTACTTCATTTCCTATCCTATTCCGTGCTCAATTTCCTGTCTCCTTCCTGGCCTCACCTTCCAGGCAAGGAGGGGGACGTTCATGATGGCACGGAGCGGGCAGGGCCATTCTCCTTCTCCCTTCCCTCTCTTTACCTGTCTCATTCCCTCTACTTCTGGTCACATTTCCTATCCTATTCTGTGCTCTATTTCCTGCCTCCTTCCCTCTGCTTCTTGCGTCCTTTCCCAGCTCACCTTCCAGGCGAGGAGGAGGGCCACTCTCCTTCTCCCTTCCCTCTCTTTCCCTGTCCCATTCCCTCTATTTCTTATCCTATTTCCTTCATATCCTGCCCCATTCCCTCTACATCTTGTCCCATCCCCTCTATATCCCCTTCCCTCCTCCTCCCATGGCCCCTTCCCTCCCTCCCTTCACCTCATTTCCTGTCCCATTCCCTCTACTTCTGGTCCCATTTCCTATCCATTTCTGTGCTCTATTTCCTGCCTCCTTCCCTCTGCTTCTTGCGTCCTTTCCCAGCTCACCTTCCAGGCGAGGAAGAGGGCCACTCTCCTTCTCCCTTCCCTCTCTTTCCCTGTCCCATTCCCTCTATTTCTTATCCTATTTCCTTCATACCCTGTCCCATTCCCTCTATGTCTTGTTCACTTCGGTCATCTGGAGAGGCCCTGCTCGTGATACCGCCTGCGTTGCAGGTGCGTTTGGTGGGGACGCGAGACAGAGCCTTTTCTGTGGTGGCCCCCCGACTCTGGAACACCCTCCCCAAAAATCTTAGACAGGCCCCTACATTGGCAGCCTTTAGAACTTGCCCCTACATTGGCAGCCTTTAGAGCCCCCAGAACTTGAAGACCTGGCTGTTCCGATGTGCCTTCCCAGAATAGGAAATCTCCAATACCAAGTCCCAGAAGCACTTTATTAGAATTAAGATTGCTGGCACACTGCACTACTTGCCCTATAATCCTTACATATCACCTGTCACATCAGCACTTTTAATTCTGTACCCATTACTCTGGCCCGGCCCAGTGTTATTGTGTCTTGGTGTATTGTTTATTGCTTGTTGTTTAATATTGCTTTGATTGTTTTAACTTGCTTTAGGGTTTTGTATCGTTATGTTGTGTTTTGAGGCCTTGGCCTTTGTAAGCCGCATCGAGTCCTTTGGGAGATGCTAGCGGGGTACAAATAAAGTTAATAATAATAATAATAATTTCATATCCTGTTCCCTGCTCTATCTCCTGACTCCTTCCCGGGCTCACCTTCCAGGCAAGAAGGAGGGCCACTCTCCTCCTCCTTCCCTCTCTTTCCTAGTCCCATTCCCTCTATTTCTTATCCTATTTCCTTCATACCCTTTCCCATTCCCTCTATGTCTTGTCCCATTCCCTCTATTTCCCCTCCCTCCCTCCACCTCATTTCCTGTCCCATTCCCTCTTCTTCTGCCCGCTTTTCCTTCACTTCCTACCCTGTTCCCTGCTCTATCTCCTGACTCACCTTCCAGGAAAGAAGGAGGGCCACTCTCCTTCTCCCTTCCCTCTCTTTCCCTCTCCCATTCCCTCTATTTCCCCTTCCTTCCTCCACTTCATTTCCTGTCCCGTTTCCTCGACTTCTGCCCCCTTTCCCTTCACTTCCTACCCTGTTCCCTGTTCTATCTCCTGCCTCCTTCCCAGGCTCACCTTCCAGGCGAGGAGGAGGACGTTCATGATGGCGAGGAGAGGGCAGGGCCCGTTCTCGTTCTGGGTGACGAGGGGCGTCTGCTCCTCCTTCCACCGGACCCACTTCAGGTGGTACACGCCTTGCCCCGCCGGGAAGGCCCGCTCCTTGGCGGCGGGCGGGGAGGCTGCGGCGGCTGCGGCCAGGTCAACCCGGGAGTCCCCCTCCTCGGCCTGGCCGGCTTCCGAGGCGGGCCCCGCGGCGGAGGAGGAGGACGACGAAGACGAGGAGGAGGAGGAGGGCAAGTGGGAGAAGGATCCCACCGAGTCTTCCTCTTCCTCCTCTTCCTCCTCGCCCGCCCTCTCCCTCTCTCCGCCCTGGGGCCTTTCTCCTCCTGCAGAGACGCCCGCCTTCTTCCCCTCAGGAGAGGCCCCCTCCCCCTCCTCCTTCTTCCCGGGAGGGGGGGGCTCCGCCAGGCCCTCCATGGGCCAGCCCCGCCTTCTCCGGCTACAGGGCCCCGCCGCCGCTTCGCCAAGGCCGCTTCTGGCCCGGAAAGGCCGCCGCCGCCATGACAGGCCGAGGCCACGCCCCGCGGAAGGAGGACGAGCAGGGAGCGGCCGCGTAGGGACAGTGCGCATGCGTACTAGGAAACGAACCCTGAGGAAACGGGAGCCAGTCGGAAGCCACGCCCCGCGGAAAGGAGGAGGAATGGAGCAGAGGGCTAGTGCGCATGCGTGCGGTGGAGCTGACCCTGAGAGGAGAGGGAGGCAGAAGACACGCCCCGCTGAAGGAGGGAGGGAAGGAGTAAGGTAGAAGCCACGCCCCCCAGAAAGAGGGAGGGAGCGGCTCCATTATTCTAGTGCGCATGCGTTCAGTGAGAAAAAGCGAGGGAGGCGGGAGACACGCCCCGCGGAAGGAGGGAGGGAAGAAGTAAGGAGCTGCCCTTGGGCGCATGCGTGAGCCCTGAGAAAAAAAGAGCGGCAGGCAGAAGCCACGCCCCCCAGAAAGAGAGGGAGAGGCTCCGTGATTCTAGTGCGCATGCGTTCAGTGAGAAAGAGCGAGGGAGGCGGAATACGCGCCCTGCGGATGGAGGGAGGGAAGCAGTAAGGAGCTGCCCTTAGGGCTTGGCGCACGCGTGAACCCTGAGGAAAAAAGAGCGGCAGGCAGAAGCCACGCCCCCTACAAAGAGGGAGGGAGCGGGTCCATGATTCTAGTGCGCATGCGTTCAGGGAGAAAAAAGCGAGGGAGGCGGAAGACACGCCCTGCGGAAGGAGGGAGGGAAGGAGTAAGGAGCTGCCCTTAGGGCTTGGGCGCATGCGTGAACCCTGAGGAAAAAAGAGCGGCAGGCAGAAGCCACGCCCCCCTACAAAGAGGGAGGGAGCGGGTCCATGATTCTAGTGCGCATGCGTTCAGGGAGAAAAAAGCGAGGGAGGCGGAAGACACGCCCTGCGGAAGGAGGGAGGGAAGGAGTAAAGAGCTGCCCTTGAGCGCATGCGTGAACCCTGAGGCAAAAAGAGCGCCAGGCAGAAGCCCCGCCCCCCCAGAAAGAGGGAGGGAGTGGCTCCATGATTCTAGTGCGCATGCGTTCAGTGAGAAAAAGCGAGGGAGGCGGAAGACACGCCCTGCGGAAGGAGGGAGGGAAGGAGTAAAGAGCTTGGGCGCATGCGTGAACCCTGAGGAAAAAAGAGAGGCAAGCAGAAGCCCCGCCCCCCAGAAAGAGGGAGGGAGTGGCTCCACGATTCTAATGCGCATGCGTTCAGTGAGAAAAAGCGAGGGAGGCGGAAGACACGCCCCGCGGAAGGAGGGAGGGGAGAGCAGGCAGCGGTTCCATGATGCTAGTGCGCATGCGTGCTAGAGACACACGTAGTGGCGGGATCCACCCTGCCATCTCGTGCAGTTTCAGACTGGCGGGCCTTCCCAGTCCTGGTCAGAGCTGGCTTGAGGCGCCGTCTTCCTCTTGGCACGTTTCTCCCTTTCTCACTCCATTCGTGCCTCTTTGAAATCTTCAGCACTGCTGGTCACAGCTGACCTCCAGTGACAGCACTCAAGGGCCAGGGCTTCCCAGTTCTCTGTTGGTTTTAAGCCCGTCTTTCAGTCTCTTTTCCTGCCCAGCAACATTAATAATAATAATATAATAATAATAATAAAACTTTATTTATAACCCGCCACCATCTCCCCAAGGGACTTGGAGCGGCTTACATGAGGTCATTCCATTTCCTGTTCTTGAGTTGGGAGTAGAGTCACTGCTTTGGGAGATGGTGCTCTTTAGGCATTTGGACAACGGTTGTGACCTCAGAGATCAGACCAAGCGCGATCGCAACGGCAAAACTTCCTCCCATGAGATTTACAGGATTTTTCAGAGGCAGTGCTGATGGAATCGTTGCAGGAGTTGAGTGTAACGTCTGTAGACAGTCCATGTTCTGCATGCATAGAACAGGGATGGGAGGACAATGGCTATATTAACAAGCATCTTGCTCTTCCTACGGATGTCCCGGTCCTCAAACACTCTCTGCACTCGCAGAGCTCAGGTGGTGTTGTATTTCAGCGTCAATGTTGACTTTTGTGGAGAGCTAGCTTCCAAGGGAGTGGAAATGGTCAACCTTTTCTAGCATTGCACTATTAAGCTGTATTTCCAGCATTGCAGAGGGATTGACTGGTGCCTTTTGCTGGAAGAGCACTTTGCTTTTCTCCATGTTCAGTGCGAGTCCTTCTTTGGACCTCAGCTATTGCACTAGTGTAGATCTCTTTCATAGCAGCGCAGTTGGTGTCTCTCTGTCGTGGGTTGTTGTAGGTTTTTTTCGGGCTATATGGCCATGTTCTAGAGGCATTCTCTCCTGACGTTTTGCCTGCATCTATGGCAAGCATCCTCAAAAGTAGTGAGGTCTGTTGGAAATAGGAAAATGGGTTTATATATCTGTGGAAAGACCAGGGTGGGACAAAGGACTCTTGTCTGCTGGAGCTAGGTGTGAATGTTTCAACTGACTAACTTGATTAGCATTTGATCGCCAGGAAGTGCCTGGAGCAATCTTTTGTTTAGAGGTGATTAGATGTCCCTGATTGTTTTCTCTCTGCTGTTTTGCTGTTGTAATTTTAGAGTTTTTTTTAATACTGGTAGCCAGATTGTGTTCATTTTCATGGTTTCCTCCTTTCTGTTGAAATTGTCCACATGCTTGTGGATTTCAATGGCTTCCCTGTGTAGTCTGACATGGTGGTTGTTAGAGTGGTCCAGCATTTCTGTGTTCTCAAATAATATGCTGTGTAGGAGAATCAGGTGACCTCATTATTATTATTATTATTATATAATGCAGTTCAACTGTGTTGAACCCTTCCAATAGCTGTGCGGAGAGGGAGATAACTTATCATCATTATCATCTTTATACACAGAGCATGGGAAATAAACAAGACGAACTTCAACTTTTAGCACAACACCACACTTACAATGTCATAGGCATTATTGAAACCAGTTGGGATGACTCCTATAGCTGGAATGTAGACATTGAGGGCTATAACCTCTTTCACAGAAACAGAACAAATGGGATAAGAGGGGGAGTAGCCTTATATATCAAAAACAGTTCCAATGCAGAAGAGATGCAAGACTGCTGTCTGGGAAACCAGCTTTAAAGCATCTGGATAAGAATCAAGGGAACCGGGACTCAAAAATATCCATCTACTACAGACCTCTGAACTAGGATGAAGAACTCAATGAAGCTTTCTGTCAACTAGGCATGGTTAGGTTCAGTCGGAATCTTCATAATTCGGAATAAATTTGGAAAGATTTGCTTTTTGAAATGATTTTGAAGTTTTTAAGGAAACCGGAAGTTCCTTTGCCCTTCCGAAGCTTTTTCCGCCATTTCTGTTACGAAGCAGTAAGTGAGTCGGAAATGATTCAGCTTTTCCCTGCTTCTGGTCCCTGGCCTTGGCTCAAGCTTGAGAAGCCGTTTTAAACGAGTGGATTAATTTCCTCCCTTTCCTCTCCCCTTGCTTCTGTCTCAAGCCTGGGAAGTGTTTTAAACCAGAGTGGATGAATTTCCTCCCTTTCTTCTCCCCTCGCTTCTGTCTCAAGCCTGGGAAGCGTTTTAAACCAGAGTGGATGAATTTTACCCCCTTTACTTCCCCCCTCCCCCCATCTGGAGTAAAACAACTACTTTCAAAGTAAAGACCACCCAATGAAATGGGAAATAACACTTTCAACCTTTAATGAAGGATTCGGAAGTCTCTGAAGTTTTGACTTCGGAAGGCCGGCATATAAGGCGTTGTGTTCTGGCACGGCTGTACCAGGAGCTCCAACTTTATTTGCTTTGTATTAAATATTTGCTTGCAGTCCAAGGTTTCAGGGATTCTGCAGATAGGTGGCTTCTTTTGGTTGCAGTCGTAGAGCAAGTCACCTGTCCATCATCGTTAAATTTTGGTTCTGCCCCTTGCTCAGGGCAATTGGGAAGGGAGCCATTTTTAGTTAGTCTCAGTAAGGAAAGCTAATTTAGAGGACGTGTACAAGCTTCTCCTGTACAAAAGCTTCAACCTTTAAGACTTTCCGGAGGAGAACAGTCTTAAGAGCATCCGAACATTTCCAAAGATTTCCAGGGAAACAGCCCTAAAGCTTTGAGGAATTTCGGAGGGTAAACAGTTTGGAAGACCAAAGAACTCCAGCTGGAGAATCTACTGGCCTTACTGGTAGGTCCACTCAGTGCTCGAGACACAGTTCGACCTGGTAGCAGAGCCCACATCAGTAAGGCTTAGATTACAGTCAGCCTGGGAGAAGTTAAAAAGGGGATTTTCCTTAAAGTAAAGAAATAGTTATTGAAGACAATTGCCTGTCCCTCGTGAACATCATTAGGAAGCCACCAGTTGCATAAAAGCCTGGAAGCATTTGTTTAACTTTATTGAAGACAAGAGAAGTTTCTGTTTGATTGTTCATTAATAATGGACTTTGTTATACTTCACAAGCCAACTAAAGACCATTTGTGGTGGGAAATCCTTGAGAACTTCTCTTTGGGGTGTCCTGGCTTCCCGCTGGGCTCAAGTTGCAAGTCCTATTTTAGAGGCAATTCTTTACAGGCCCAGCACGTGACAGAACACGTTGCAATAGTCCAACCTAGTGGTGACTGTTGCATGATCGCTTTCCAAAAATCATGAAATATCCAAAAGGTTCTGGAGATTTCCATTTTCCAAAACTGATCCCTCTGAAAGTGCCCTCCCCCCAAAAGACAGACACATAGAGACTTGGCTGGTGTGACCCTGCAGAGAGGGAAGGCAGTACAGGGACAATGCAAGTGCCGGTGCAGCTGTGCTCCTTTTGTCCTTTTGCGCTCCTCAGTCTCATCCGCTTTCACTGGAAACAGCTGCTTCCTCTGTGCAGCCACAGCATTAGGAGGGGCCCTCCCCCCACCCACCCCCCACCCCCACGCAAACAATGCCAGGGTTCCCACAAGAGAAAGAAAGCCTTTGAAGCAGCAGCAGCAGTGTTGCTTTGAGCTCAAAGGGCTACATTCAGCAAAGGGATCCTCTCACCATTGCAGGAGTCTACTGCATACCGTGCAGCTGTGGACAAGAAGTCTACATAGGGACCCCCAAATGCAACAGCAGCAGCAGCCTTCCTTGCCCAGGCACAAATCAAGGAACACAAAAGGCAACGCAGACTCATTCAGTCAGAGAAGTCGGCAATAGCAGAACCCTTGATGAACCAAGGTGGACACAAGACTATTTGAGAGCACAGATATTATAGACCACTCTGACAACCATCATGCCAGGATACACAGAGAAACTACTGAAATCCACAAGAAACGTGGACAGTTTCAACAGAAAGGAGGAAAATGAACAAAATCTGGCAACCGGTATTTATAAACACCAGAACCAAAACAGTTAATAAATAATGAAAATCTCTCAGAAACCTGGCTTTTCTGATGTGCCTATGGAGAGTGACCATCCATCCCAACTTTGTTGCCCCATCTATAGTGTTGCCCTTATGATGCACTTTCCCCCATTCTAAACTGAAAGCCTTACCCCACTGTTTTGTTTTCTTAGGCTCACATCAATTACATATTTTCTATTCCTACCTCACCCACGGTTTTATCATTTTATCTTGTTCATTTGACCTGCCCAGCCTGTTCGATTTTATACTGGGTGAATTTGCTTTATTATTTCATTTTGTTATTGCAATTTATTTTCTGATGCATTTTGTTTTTTGTATTCTGTATTTTACTGTGATGTACTGCATTTTTAAAAGGGCTTGGCCTCATGTTAGCCGCCCCGAGTCCCCATTGGGGAGATGGTGGTGGGGTATAAATAAATAAAGAAGAAAGTGCAAAAGCTGGGTTGCAGTTAAACAAAAAAAACCAAGATTATGGCAACAAGAATGATTGACAACTGGAAAATAGAGGGAGAAAATGTGGAGGCCGTGACAGACTTTGTATTTCTAGGTACAAAGATTACTGCAGATGCAGACTGTGGCCAGGAAATCAGAAGACGCTTACTTCTTGGGAGGAGAGCAATGTCCAATCTCAATAAAATAGTAAAGAGTAGAGACATCAGACTGGCAACAAAGATCCGCCTAGTCAAAGCCATGGTATTCCCTGTAGTCACCTACGGATGTGAGAGCTGGACCTTAGGGAAGGCTGAGCGAAGGAAGATCGATGCTTTTGAACTGTGGTGTTGGAGGAAAGTTCGAGAGTGCCTTGGACTGCGAGAAGATCCAACCAGTCCATCCTCCAGGAAATAAAGCCCGGCTGCTCATTGGAGGGAAGGATACTAGAGACAAAGTTGAAGTACTTGGCCACATCATGAGGAGACAGCAAAGCCTAGAGAAGACAATGATGCTGGGGAAAGTGGAAGGCAAAAGGAAGAGGGGCCGACCAAGGGCAAGATGGATGGATGGCATCCTTGAAGTGACTGGACTGACCTTGAAGGAGCTGGGGGTGGTGACGGCCGACAGGGAGCTCTGGCGTGGGCTGGTCCATGAGGTCACGAAGAGTCGGAGACAACTGAACGAATGAACAACAACATATCCCACTTTTCTCTTCATTAAAATGCATGACAATACAATTTAAAATATACAAAAATTAAAACTGAATTAAACATCATTAGTATTAAAAACAATCGAGATGAGGAAGCTTCATTAGAATCATAGTATAGGGACCAAGAAACCAAAAGTAGAGTTACCCCTCCCTCATCCTAGGGAGGCGAAACAGAGAAGAGATTATTGCTAAGCTACCGCATTCATGCTTGATGAGCGAATACACTCATAGACAGTAGGCATAGGTGAATTGTAACCAATCAGAAGTTGCTTGAGTGTTGTTTTTTTAATAATTGGAATATAAAGGCTTTGTTTGGAACGTAACAAAGGGCAGGCAATCTTTGTTCTTTGGCCTAAATGGTCAAGGGCTGTTCCGTCTCAATGCTGATCAGCTTGAAAATAAAAGACTTGTTGAAAACCTCATCGGATCTCATCTCCTCCCTGCCCTCTGGGCCCGTCGCCCTAAATTGGACCCTAACAATAGAATCATAGAGTTGGAAGAGACCTTGTGGGCCATCCAGTCCAACCCCCTGCCAAGTAGCAGGAATATTGTATTCAAAGCACCTGACAGATGGCCATCCAGCCTCTGTTTAAAAGCTTCCAAAGAAGGAGCCTCCACCACACTCCGGGGCAGAGAGTTCCACTCTGAACGGCTCTCACAGTCAGGAAGTTCTTCCTCATGTTCAGATGGAACTACAACTCCCAAATGACAAAATCATAATTTTTGTGTGATTGTCACTCTTTGTGTTGTGAGATGTTTTGTTGCCAAATTTGGTATTTCGTTCATTTGTTCTTTTGTTTTTAAGGTACTCATTATGCACAGATCATTTATAGATAGATAGATAGATAGATAGATAGATAGATAGACTTATATCCCCATACCAAAAGAGGGAAATGTGAAGACTGCTCAAACTTCCGTACAGTGGCCCTTATTTCTCATGCCAGTAAGGTAATGCTCAAGATCCTGCAAGGAAGACTCCAGCAATACATGGAGCGAGAGTTGCCAGATGTTCAAGCTGGGTTTAGAAAAGGCAGAGGAACGAGAGACCAGATTGCCAATATCCGCTGGATAATGGAGAAAGGCAGGGAGTTTCAGAAAAACATCTATTTCTGCTTCATTGACTATCTAAAGCCTTTGACTGTGTGGATCATAATAAATTGTGGCAAGTTTTTGGTGGGATGGGCATACCAAGCCACCTTGTCTCTCTCCTGAGGAATCTGTACAAGGACCAAGTCGCAACAGTCAGAACTGACCATGGAACAACAGACTGGTTCAAGATTGGGAAAGGCGTACGGCAAGGCTGCATACTCTCACCCAACCTTTTTAACTTGTATGCAGAACACATCATGCGATGTGCGGGGCTGGATGAATGCAAAGCTGGGGTGAAAATTGCTGGAAGAAACATTAACAACCTCAGATATGCAGATGACACCACTCTGATGGCCGAAAGCGAGGAGGAGCTGAGGAGCCTTCTAATCAAGGTGAAAGAAGAAAGCGCAAAAGTTGGGTTGCAGCTAAACATCAAAAAAACCAAGATTATGGCAACAAGAATGATTGACAACTGGAAAATAGAGGGAGAAAATGTGGAGGCCGTGACAGACTTTGTATTTCTAGGTGCAAAGATGAGTGCAAAGGCAGACTGTGGCCAGGAAATCAGAAGACGCTTCCTTCTTGGGAGGAGAGCAATGTCCAGTCTCGATAAAATAGTAAAGAGTAGAGACATCAGACTGGCAACAAAGATCCGCCTAGTCAAAGCCATGGTATTCCCTGTAGTAACCTACGGATGTGAGAGCTGGACCTTAGGGAAGGCTGAGCGAAGGAAGAGAGATGCTTTTGAGCTGTGGTGTTGGAGGAAAGTTCTGAGAGTGCCTTGGACTGCGAGAAGATCCAACCAGTCCATCCTCCAGGAAATAAAGCCCGACTGCTCACTGGAGGGAAGGAGACTAGAGACAAAGTACTTTGGCCACATCATGAGGAGACAGCAAAGCCTGGAGAAGACAATTATGCTGGGGAAAGTGGAAGGCAAAAGGAAGAGGGGCCGACCAAGGGCAAGATGGATGGATGGCATCCTTGAAGTGACTGGATTGACCTTGAAGGAGCTGGGGGTGGTGACGGCCAACAGGGAGCTCTGGCGTGGGCTGGTCCATGAGGTCACGAAGAGTCGGAGATGACTGAACGAATGAACAACAAGAAGATAGATAGATAGATATAGACAGAAAAAAGATATAGATAGAAGATATATATATAGACACACACATATACGCATACATGCACACACAAAACACATATACACAGACTGGGCCACAGCAACACGTGGCAGGGGACAGCTAGTAAATGTAATAAAGAAAATGATACACAATCAATAACTATAAATGATTGAATGATGTAAAATATAAGCAATGACACGTGTAACTAATATAACTATGGTATTAGCATCTATGCTCCCAATATCGGGTCTTCCCAATATTGTATTGGGAGAAAGGCAGGACCACCTTAAAGGGCCACCTTCTTCGTGGGAGAAGAGCAGCTCACACCAATCCGTCCCCAGCTGACCTCCTTGCTTTCCTTTTTTGCCCTCCGACCCACTCCGCGCTCCCTCCCTCCCTGCCTGCCAGCCCTACTGCCCTGGTCGTGACCCGGGCGTCGCCGCCTGCCCCTTTAAGGGAAAGAGGAAGGAAGCGGGCAGCGGCCCCTCCCTTGGCTGAGGAGGAACTCACCGCGCGTGCGCAGCCAGGATCATCCTTATCATCAACAACAACACTGCCGCCGCCGCCTCCACCCTTTTCCCGACGTCACGTGACGGAGGCGGGGACTCTCTGGAAGGAAAGGCGTGAGAGCGAGTGAGGGGCGACGTTTGGGAAAGAGGGCGTGGCGGAACAGGGAGAAGGGGCGTGGCTTGTAGAGAGCCGGGGAAGAAGCGAGCGGGAGGCGGGCCCTCCTCTAGATGTCTCACCTCGGATTGGCTAGCAGTGGGCAGAGGGCGGGCGTTCGCTTTCTGGGTCCGCGCATGCGTAGGGGGCAGCTCCTGATTGGGCGGCGGGGACTCTTGTGAGGCGGCCGAGAGCGAGAGAGAGAGGTTCTTGTTCTTCTGAGGGACTTTTGGTGGCCGCCGCCTGAGGAGAAAGAGAGGGAGAGAGAAGAGAGGAGAGGCCGAAGGGAAGGAGAAGAAAGAAGGGAGGGATAAATAAAGGAAGGCCGGCCTTCTCCTTCCTTCCTTCCTTCCCTCCGGCGGCGGCGGCGGCGGCGGCGGCGGCCTGGGCGGATGCCTCGTCGCGGGTGAGAGAGAAGAGGCCTGGCGGGGGGCCCCGGGCAGGCCGAGGAGGAAGAGGAAGAGGAAGAAGAGGCCGGGGGAGGAAGAGGAGATGGCGCTGCTCGGGGTCCTCGTCCTGCTCGGCTCCTGGGCCGCCGGGGCCGGAGGTGAGCCCGCCACGGAGGAAGCAAGCAAGGAAGGCCCTCCCTTCCCTCCCCTGCTTCCTCCCAGCCCTTCTTCTCTCTTCTTCCTCTCATTCGTTGCTTTCCTGGCTCTCCTCCTTTCCTGCTTTCTCTCCTCCTTCCCCCCTTCATTCTTTCCCTCTTGTCATCTTTCCTTTCCTTCTCTTCTTATTTCTGTTCATCTCTTCCTTCCATTCCCTCCCCTGCTTCCCTTTCTTCTCTTCATCATATTCTTTCTTTCAGATCTCTCTTCTTTCCTTCCATTCTTTCCTTGTTTCTATCCACCTCTTCCTTCAGTTCCCTCCCCTGCTTCCTCCCTGCCCTTCTTCTCTCTTCTTCCTGTCATTCGATGGCTCTCCCCCTTTCGCCCTCCATTCTTTTACTCCTTTTTCCTTCCTTTCTTCTCATTTCTGTTCATCTCTTCCTTCCACTCGTTCCCTGCTTCCCCTTCTTCCCTTCATCATATTCTTTTTTCTTTCCTTGCTTTCAGTCCTCTCTTCTTTCCTTTTATTCTTTCCTTGTTTCCATTCCTCACTTTCTTCCATCCCTCCCTTACTTCCCTTCTTTTCATGGAAGCAAGGAAGGCCCTCCCTGCCCTTCTTCTCTCTTCTTCCTGTCATTCGATGCTTTCCTGGCTCTCCTCCTTTCCTGCTTTCTTCTCCCCCCTCCATTCTTTCCCTCTTGTCATCTTTCCTTTCCTTCTCTTCTTATTTCTGTTCATCTCTTCCTTCCACTCATTCCCTGCTTCCCTTTCTTCCCTTCATCATATTCTTTCTTTCCTTTCTTTCTTTCAGTCCTCTCTTCTTTCCTTGTTTCTATTCACCTCTTTCTTCCATTCCTCCCTTGCTTTCATTTCTTTATATTCTTTCTTTCCTTCTTACGTTTCTTCCATTTTTTCTTTCCTTTCATCTCTTCTTTCCATTCCTCCCTTGCTTCCCTTCCTTTCATGGAAGAAAGGAAGCAAGGAAGGCCCTCTCTTCCCTCCCCTGCTTCCTCCCAGTGCCTCTTCTTTCTTCTTTCTGTCATTCATTACTTTCCTGTGGACTCTGACTGGCTCTCCTTTCTTCTCCCCCCCTTTCCCCGCTCCATTCTTTCCCTCCTGACATCTTGTCCTTCCTTTCCTTCTCTCCTTATTTCTGTTCATCTCTTCCTTCCACTCATTCCCTGCTTCCCTTTCTTCCCTTCATCATATTCTTTCTTTCCTTTCCTTTCGTTCAGTCCTCTCTTCTTTCCTTGTTTCTATTCACCTCTTTCTTCCATTCCTCCCTTGCTTTCATTTCTTTATATTCTTTCTTTCCTTCTTACGTTTCTTCCATTTTTTCTTTCCTTTCATCTCTTCCTTCCATTCCTCCCTTGTTTCCCTTTCTTCATATTCTTTTATTTCCTTCTTACATTCCTTCTATATTTTTTCCTTTTGTTCATTTCTTCCTTCCATCCCTCCCTGCTTCCTCCCTACCCATCTCCTCTCTTCTTCCTGTCATTTGTTGCTTTCCTGGCTCTCCTTTCTTCTCCCCCCCTTTCCCCGCTCCATTCTTTCCCTCCTGACATCTTGTCCTTCCTTTCCTTCTCTCCTTATTTCTGTTCATCTCTTCCTTCCACTCATTTCCTGTTTCTCTTTCTTCCCTTCATCATATTCTTTCTTTCAGATCTCTTTCAGTCCTCTCTTCTTTCCTTTTATTATTTCCTTGTTTCCATTCCCCGCTTTCTTCCATCCCTTCCTTACTTCCCTTCTTTTCATGGAAGCAAGGAAGGCCCTGCTCCCTCCCTGCCCTTCTTCTCTCTTCTTCCTGTCATTCGTTTCTTTCCTGGCTCTCCTTCTTTCCTGCTTTCTTCCCCCGCTCCATTCTTTCCCTCCTGACATCTTGTCCTTCCTTTCCTTCTCTCCTTATTTCTGTTCATCTCTTCCTTCCACTCATTTCCTGTTTCTCTTTCTTCCCTTCATCATATTCTTTCTTTCAGATCTCTCTTCTTTCCTTCAATTCTTTCCTTGTTTCTATTCACCTCTTCCTTCCATTCCTCCCTTGCTTCGCTTTCATTTCATTTCCTTCTTACGCTTTTTCTATATTTTCCTTTCCTTTCACCTCTTCCTTCCATCCCTCCCTTGCTTCCCTTCTTTTCATGGAAGCAAGGAAGGCCCTCTCTTCCCTCCCCTGCTTCCTCCCTGCCCATCTCCTCTCTTTTTTCCTGTCATTCATTGCTTTCCTGGCTCTCTTTCTTTCCTACTTTCTCTCCTCCTTTCCCCCTCCATTCTTTCCCTCTTGTCATCTTTCCTTTCCTTCTCTTCTTATTTCTGTTCATCTCTTCCTTCCACTCATTCCCTGCTTCCCTTTCTTCTCTTCATCATATTCTTTCTTTTCCTTTCGTTCAGTCCTCTCTTCTTTCCTTGTTTCTATTCACCTCTTCCTTCCATTCCTCCCTTGCTTCCCTTTCTTCATATTCTTTCTTTCCTTCTTCCGTTTCTTCCATTTTTTCTTTCCTTTCATCTCTTCTTTCCATTCCTCCCTTGCTTCCCTTCCTTTCATGGAAAGAAGCAAGCAAGGAAGGCCCTCTCTTCACTCCCCTGCTTCCTCCCAGTGCCTCTTCTCTCTTCTTTCTGTCATTCATTACTTTCCTGTCTCTCTTTCTTTCCTGCTTTCTTCTCCCCCCCTTTCCCCTCCATTCTTTCCCTCCTGACATCTTTTCCTTCTTTTCCTTCTCTCCTCATTTCTGTTCATCCTTTCTTTCCACTCGTTTCCTGCTTCCCTGTCTTCCCTTCATCATATTCTTTCTTTCCTTTCTTTCCTTTCGTTCAGTCCTCTCTTCTTTCCTTGTTTCTATTCACCTCTTCCTTCCATTCCTCCCTTGCTTTCCCTTTCTTCATATTCTTTCTTTCCTTCTTACATTTCTTCCATTTTTTTCTTTCCTTTCATCTCTTCCTCCCATTTCTCCCTTGCTTTCTTTCTTTTCATGGAAGAAAGCAAGGCAGGCCCTCTCTTCCCTCCCCTGCTTCCTCCCAACCCTTCTTCTTTCTTCTTCCTGTCATTCATTGCTTTCCTGGCTCTCCTTCTTTTCTGCTTTCTCACCCCCCTTCCCTCTTCATTCTTTCCCTCCTGACATCTTTTCCTTCTCTTCCTTCTAACTCACCTCTTCCTTCCATTCCTCCCTTGCATTCTTTTCTTTCTCTCATCACTCTTACTCTTTCTTTCTTTTCACTCTTTCCTTGTTTCCATTCACCCCTTCCTTTTAGTCTTTCCTTGCTTTCATTCCTTCTTCCTTCCTTCCTTCTTTCCTTTCATTTTTTCCTTGTTTTAATTCGAGGCTTCCTTTCCAGTCCTCCTTTGCTTCCCTTCCTTCCATGGAGGGGAGGGAGGGAGGAAGGAAGGAAGGCTCTCTCTTCCTTCCTCGTTTTTCCTCTCAGCCCCTTTCTTTCATCTTCTTTTCATGCACTGCTTTCCTGGCTCTTCTTTTCTGCCTTCTCTCTCTCCCCCCCCCCCTTTTCCCTCCATTCTTTCCCTCCTTACTTTCCCTCATTTTCTTTCTAATTTATCTCTTTCTTCCATACTTTCCTTGGTTCCCTTTCTTTCTGTCATCATGTTCTTTCTTTCCTTTTCTTTCTTTTCATTTATTCTTTGCTTTAATTATTTCTTTCATTCTTTCCTTCCATCTTTTCCTTCCTTTCATTGTTTTCTTGTTTTGATTCACCCCTTCTTTCCATTCTCTCTTCCTCTCGACCTTATCTCTTCTTCCATTCATTACTTTCCTGGCTCTTCTCTTTTCCTGCCATCTCCCCGCTTCCTTGCTTCCCTATCTTCCTTTCATTATGTTCTTCCTTTCTTTCCTCCCATCCAGCCTTTCTTTCATTCACTCTTTCCTTGCTTCATGCACTATTTCCTTCCATTCCTCCCTTGCTTCCCTTCTTCCTTTCATCATTTTCTTTATTTCCTTCCTTTCTCTTCTTTCAATCTTCCCTTACTTTCATTCTTTTCACTCTTTCCTTCCTCCCATCTTTTTCTTCCTTTCAATCATTTCATTGGGGAGATGGTGGCAGCGTATAAATAAAGTATTATTATTATTATTATTATTATTATTATTTCTTTGTTTCCATTCACCTCTTCCTTCCATTCACCGCTTGCTTCCCTTTCTTCCTTACATCATATTCTTCCTTTCCTTTCATTCTTGCGTTCCTTCCTTCCTTTCATTATTTCCTTGTTTCCATTCACCTTTTCCTTCAATTCCTCCCTTGCTTCCCTTTCCTCCTTTCATCATACTCTTTCATTCTTTCCTTGCTTTTATTCCTTTCTTTCTTTCTTTCTTTCTTTCTTTTTCTTTCTTTCTTTCTTTCTTTCTTTCTTTCTTTCTTTCTTTCTTTCTTTCCTTTCCTTTCCTTTCCTTTCATCTCCTCCTTCCATTCCTCCCTTGTTTGCCTTTCTTTCATCTTCTCCTCTCTGCCCTGTTTTCTCTCTGTTTTGCTAGCCTGTCCCCATTTTGAGGTCACTTGCTCAGAAAGAGGGGAAAGGAGGGGGCCCCAATGGGAATCTGTCTGTCTGTCTGTCTGTCTGGACTGATTTCCTCTTCCTGTTTTCCCTGCTCAGTTTTTAATGCATTGCAATCCAAGCGCAGAGGTGTTTCTTACCTAAAGAAACTCTATGAAAGTACTCATGGGCTCATGGGAGTTGACAGGAGAAGTGAAGGCACATCAACATGCACATCCTCTTCACCTCCCCCCCCCCCCCCCCAAGTTTGTGAAGTATAAAGGTAATAGGGAGAGTGGTGTCTTTTCACATTTACAAATCTGCGGTATAGGGGGAAAGCAACCATTTCCACTCGGCACCAAGATTTATGTATCTGTGCAAAATAAAAGTGCAGGCAGTTCCCACATTATAAACAAGAGAAGTTCTGTAGGTTTGTTCTTTAATTGAGTTTGTCTGTAAGTCAGAACAGGCACATTATATCAGCGTAACTTCAACTGAAGATATTTTATATATATAATAGCTGTCCCCTGCCAC